AGCCGCCTTCCGGTCCACGCTTGTCCCGAACGGGTCAGGTGAGTGGGTCAATGTTCTGCAATGGAAGGCGAGCTCGCGCCGTCACTTGCACCTTGCCCACACCACGCACCACGCACGACGCCAACTGCCCTTGCCCCTGCACTACTTCTGGGAATGGTGTCAAAACTTCCGTTGATTTGAACCCACCCTATCCGTACTGGACCCTACCAAGTCACTAAGGCACCCATTGACGCTACACTTCCTCACTACGACCACTTTTCACCTGCTGGCTGCGACTTACAACAACGTTACAATCAGAGGGAAATCGTCCGAAGTGAACGTCGAATTCTCGAGACAAGTTTCTCTACTTTCTTTGATAGCTTACGTCTGCACTGCTGAGTCCATCGACCAGCATCGTCCCTGCCTCTCTGAGGGTTTCGGGCTTACTCAATATAGTATTAGAGTCTGTCATGGATGACCTCTCAATACTCCAAGAAACAGCTCCCATTCAGAATGCGAGGTGGGAAAAAAAAAAGACCGGCGTCAAGTGTCTGTGGACAATGCACTGCTACGCCGCGACGTCACGAACTTCTTCAGAGACTGACCCCAGAGGCTCTAACCGCCTTCATAGCCGCTGGCCGGCTTGACAACCTCTACCGCCAGCTAGACTTTGTACACTAACAACGGCCTGTCTTGGGAGTGACTGGATTCATTCATGCTAGCCCAGCTGCGGCAGCGATGCAGCTCGTGTGGGTGCTGTCTTTCTGCACGATAGGCGGCCCATCCATGCTTCCCCAGAACTTTCGCGGGAATCACCGTCACATTGAAGTTGTTGCACAACAAACAGCCGACAACATTCAACGAGGACCCGCCTACTGCAATTCGAGGTACTACAACGACAACAGACATAACACGCCTTTTCTGCAACGTGGGACTTTGCATCCGCGCTTCTCAACTAAGCAGTCGAAGAAGAGCATTTCCACGCATCGTCACAACCTTCGGGCTTAGAATGGCCATCAGAGAAGAGCTCAAAGCGCGCCAGCTCGTCTGGGGAAAAACTCTCGAGTCTATCGAGTCTCTCTACCTTGATGCTCACATGCTTTTTCAATACTGGTTACTGATGATTTACTTAGGTTTTGGTCTCTGACTAGATCCCTGCATTGACAAGGCTTGCCACATCGCCAGCGCGCTGTCAACACCTCGCAAATTTGAGAATCGATTGTGTTTGAGTTTCCTAGCAGGCGCGGCCCGGTCGTCAGGACTCAATTTTACGGCCCATTGGCGACATCCGGTTTGTCCTGCCATCCGCTCATCATCGCATGTTTACGCCTACAAAGCCATTCGGATTTCTTTTGTTATTATCAAGGCAAGCCACCCACACGCACAAGATACGTTGCGCCGGCTTCAGCGACTAACAACTCTCTTTTGAAAGGTCATCCGGCAAAGCTCACCCCTCGATGCTGGTCAGTGCTGAATAATCCTCGAATGCGATTTCCCTGGAGATTCAAGCACAGCACAGGCCCGACTTCTCGAAACCAATGCCGTCGACGGAGGGAGATCCATGCATCTCACGATTCCGACTACCTTGCTCGACATACGAAGCGGATATCAGCCGGCCACCTTTTTGCGGGGAAGTCGCCCACGCAAAAGGTTGGGTGACATTGTGACAACAGATGATGTTCAAGTCTGACTTCAACCGTTGTCTTTGGAGTATAGGACAAGAGCTACTCGCTATGAGTTGGAGGCATCACTCCTCTTCAGGTACACTGCTATGGAGTGCGTCAACGTCGAGGCCAAGGCCAGGCAACGAACTGCTGATCGGGATGGGGAACGGGCATACGGTGTTAGTTGCTGCAAATTCCGCCCTCGGTCCCAACCAACGTTGGAAAGGCAAACTTGTCCAAGGATCTACCATGCTGGTGTCGACAGCTTACTCGAGACGTTGATGGAACAGACTCTACGGTAAAGGGTGTGTGCAGGGAAACACCGAAGAACCATGGCCTTGCACAGGTTCACCTTGTGCTTAGAGTTCAAGGGCGGCAAGCTTTTTTACTTGGGTTGGTCCCAAGATAACCTTCATCGCTTCGGCAGCGATGAATGGGTATTTATCGTCACCAAAGCGTCCGTGATGACGCTCAAGTAATGTTCAACGTTCATTCATTAGGGTCACCTGGCTGCGTGCTACTTCGAACTTGGAACGATCAGAGAAGCCGACCAAAAGTTGCAGTGTCGTGGTTGCGCGGCGGACTCGCTGGAAAAGGCAACGCTTCGAACAGCACTTCCAGCGGGTGTTATCTCATTGGCTCATGGCTCTTGAAACTACCGTTCAGTGTGCATGGAGCTACTGCGCGGATTTCATAGCTACTGATTTCCGGATGCAAGAGCCCTGAAACTAGCCAGGCAGTGCCTTTTCTTTGGACGAATCCTAGCGTCAAGCGTTGGAAAGTCGGGTCTCAACTCGTCTTTCCGTCTGGAAAGAATTTGGCGCCAGCTAAAGTGTCTTGTGCAACATTCTTCCCGACACGTCTCTGGTAGCCGACTCAATCGGACAAAGTCAAGGTTCGGAACTTTTCAACCATGCGACAAAACCTGCCTACCATCAGGAGCTAGCGGCAATGATGCGGGCAGATTTACTACGGAGATTGAGACATGGTGCCAGCGGCTAACGGCGAGAGCTAATTATTGTCGTGGTCCTCTAAGGGTCTGGCATCTGTCAACCAGCAAGCTATTAGCAAGCTGCCTGCAATGCACAGCGGCGTGTCATGTCCTCGTCGACGATTGTTGTGATTGGGCGCATCATCCGCCTAATTCTTTGCCTAACTGTCACGCAAGTTGATTACACGATCTCGACTCGACGGTGCTCGTTCCTCTGAGGTCGCCTGAAGTCTATTTCGACAGAGTTTCGCGGTCTCGGGACAGTTCGGAGCAGAGGGGCACTCCCACAAAACGATTTCAGGCAACGGCAGAGCCTGCCTGAAATTATTCCGTTCCTCAGCAAAGATTGCGACACCTCTCAACCAGAGGAATGCGACAGCCGATGACGAATTATGAGCACATGCTTTGGGTGAGTGTGTGAGATTGAATTGCTAACATCGTCGAGAATGAGTGGCAGTGGGGGCGGCTGTACCGAAAACGGCCCTAGGCAAGGTGAGGGTGTCCCACAGGAAGACTTCCGATACGACAGCAGACAGCGTCCCACCGTTCACTTCACTAAAGTAGCCTGCGGGGGCAGCGGGCGGTTCTTGGGAAAGCTTGGCGTTGGGGACGGAGAACGACACGCTTATGTTACTGTTGGTGGTGGTGCTGACACCAGGAACACTCAGTTGGCGGGGATTGACTGACGCGGTTTGCAAACATGGCAAACACGACTTCATGTGGACTGTCAGCGGATAGATGTGGCCGTCTTGGCTGTTGTGGTCTTCCGTCTCCGATTCCCCGAGGGCCAGGTCGAAGTTGGCAAACCAACCGAAATACAGGTCACAGCAGCTTAAACGCCGTGGCTGGCTGAGGCTAGTCGACAAAAGCCTAGCTGTTCTAACTCACAAGTCGCCGGGCGAATTCGGGGCTATTTCGAGAGCGATGCTTCAGCATTGACGCTGTTAAGCTCGACCATCTGTCATGGCTGGGCGTATTCGGCAGCAGTCGAGCACCGCGGCTGTATCACCAATACATTTTCTGCCTGAAGGCTCAGCACGCAGCTGTAGGTACAGGTCCTTAGCTGATGACAAGTGTCAGTCTTCAACACGCAAGGTTTGCTATGCTACGTCGGCCATCACCGGTCCCGCGATTCTGGACCTCTACTGCTCACCCTTGATGCATGTCCAGGATTCGGCCCTGATACCTTTGGTTAAGAACATAGCTATGCCCACTCGGGTCACAGATCGTCTGACCTCCACAACCAACCAGTTTGGCGTCGTCCATGTGAACTGGACATCAGATTCCCTGATCTATGATTTCCTATCTCCACTAATCTCATGAAGCCTTGAAAATGAAAGCTTCACAGTGTTGTCAAAGCAAGGGTTTTCAAGGGGAGGGACGGGGGCATGGCCAGCGGCAGCAACAACCAACAATACCCAAGCTCTTTCTGTCATCAAGCATGCTAGCTGCAGCACACAAAACAATCATCGTCCGAAAACCGCCGTAACCCCCGGAACCTAGTTTTGGATCATACCTCGACCAACTCGACCCAGCCCTGCGACGCCGAGACAACCGAAACAGATGCGGACAAGCACTCCCTTGATCTTCAATGTGGAACATGCCTAGCACGGGGTCGAAAGAGCCCCAAGCTCTGCTTCTGCCTTCCTCAGGCTCCTGTGATACTTCTCTGCGAGCAACACAATAACCGTCCACAGAAAATTCTCATGCCTCTTGAGCGCCGCCATCGCCGCCGGTGGGTTGCGCCGAGAGGTGCAAGCGGGTCCGATGAGCGTCCCTAACCGGGCCCCGCTGACTCGGAGCCCTTTGAAGGTTTCCCGGACTTCACAGGCCGGGATGGTGAACGGTTAGCCACGATCCTCCGATGCATCTGAGCCGTAAATCACACGGGCAATGACATGATATATCTATCATCCACGAGTGTCGCGATGTACGGACGCAGCGCAGGTACGGCTTCCATTAGCCCATTTGGCACATGTGGGTGGTGTCAGCCGCAGTCGCACTACAACATACAGTGCTTACTCTGGGGCGCCGCCAAGGGTCCAATGTTGTCGTCAGCCACTTGATGGACCAAAGTACCCAATTGCTTCATTTCTAACGTATCTCCTGTTGAGGATGTCGTCTAATCTCGATGGCTGGGGTCCTGGGGATCCATCCCTTCTCCCTTGAGGCTCTTCCCCCCTGAGCGTTACAGCTTCATCACTTTTTCGACGACTCTACCAATATATTTATCATTGGAGGTTTGTGTGCTTTCTATCTCTGTAGCCTTCTTCTGATCTTGTCAGACTAACTGTGACGAATTCGCTCCAGGCTTTCTTTTCCTGCATCTCAACAAAATCCGGTCCCACACATCCTCACCGCCCAACATGACGGTTGCTCAAGGTTATCACAACCTCGTCCCCACGACCGGACTGTCGGGTCCGGTTGACACGACAAAGCCGTACGACCCGTCCACATTGTCTGAAAAGACAGTCCTAATCACCGGGGGAGCCCTCGGCCTCGGTGCCCTCTTCGCCCGGAAGTGGGCGTCCCACGGTGCCAATATCATTGTCGGCGACATCAACGCCTCGGAGGGCGAAGCCCTCATCGCCTCCCTCCGCACCGACCACCCAAAGGGTTCTCACCACTTCGTCACCTGCGACGTCACTTCCTGGGATTCCCAGGTCACGTTCTTCAAAGAGGCTGCGCGCCTCTCCCCCAACGGCGCCATCGACGTCGTCGTCGCCAACGCGGGCATCAACCTCCCCCCCGCGAACCAGGCCTTCGACAACCCCACCCCCTCCAAGTCGGACCCAGATGCCCCCCGGGAACCATCCACCAAGACCATCGCCGTCAACATCACCGGCCTGACGTACACCACGCACCTCGGCATGTTCTGGCTCCCCCGCAACGGCAAGCAGGACGGCACCACCGGCGCCTCCGCCAAGGACCGCTGCATTCTCCTCATCGGCTCCGTCGCCGGCGTCGTCCACTTCCCCGGCCAGTCGCCCTACACCATGTCCAAGCACGCCGTGACGGGCCTCTTCCGCGCCATGCGCGCCACGGCCTACATGTCGCACCGCGTGCGGCTCAACATGCTGTGCCCCTACTTCGTCAGCGAGAGCAACATGCTGCCCCGCCTCGGCGAGGCCGCGCTGCTGGGCGGTAGCGCGGGCGGCGCCAGGCTCGACGACGTCGTGGACGCCGCGACGCGGCTCGTCGCGGACGAGGGCGTCGTCGGCAGGGCGCTCCTCGTCGGGCCCGCGGTCGCGGACGAGGAGAGGGGCGTCACGCAGAAGGTCGCCGCGTGGGACGTGTATGCCGAGGATTACAAGGACTGCGAGGCTTTCGTGTGGAGGTGGGTGAGGATTTTGAATACCGTCGAGGCGGCGCGCGGGTGGTTTGGCTGGGTGAGGGATTGTTTCGGCATCATGACACGGCGGTGAGTATGTAGATGTAAGAGCGGTGATGATGTAGAGTAACGTGTAACTACCGGGAATGTAAGCGCGAAACGTGGTAGGCCGATCTTGGCCAGGATCGATCTTGGATCGGATCGAAGACGCGGGCTCATGGCGCAGCCTGTGTTCTGGTGTAATAGACAATTGTGGTAATATTTCCCCTTTGGGCGAGAGATGTAGACATCACGCTCGTGATGAGATACGCGAGATCTGCGTAGGATTTCGCCTCAACATTTTCCGTTCACGTTCCTCCTCGGTCCTTGTGTAAGAGCGATGTACATCATCTCCCTGCGCCGTCTCCTGATGATGGATACACGACTCCGGGAAAGAGGACAATTTGCAGAGTATACGTGAAGCAGCGCCAGTAGAGCACAGCCGCGAGGCTCCGCTTCCTTGGCTCGATGACCTAGTTGAAGTGACGCACGGCATGTTCGCGTATGTTCCATCTTATTCCGACAGGATCCTTCCTACTGGATAGTAGCCTGTCAGGTAGATACAGTATCGAAACCTCGGACTACTATCGATACCGGCTTGCCTTACGCGACGCCTGGAATGAGGTGCTTGGTCTCGATGACCGTGTTCCTGGTTGTCTCGCGGGGGGTTTCGTGTATATTTAACAGATCATGGGTGCGTCTCTCGATTAGCACAACAGCCATATGTGAAGATCTTTCCTCGATTGCAGCTCTGGAGTTGATTTGCATACAGCTTTGTCGGTGAGCCCGGTCTGGTCGTCCTGGCGGTGAGCTGTGCAGGACACGCGGGCCTGTTTGTGGATGTCTGTATATATCTTGACTGAATACTTTGCCACCAGTGTGGGACGAAAGAGGCGAGAGATGGATGAGGGGTTTGGCGGAGACTTTGATGGTTGGTATGTTTGGAAGATGGCATCTAAAGGGCTGCGCAGCTTTCTTGTTCCTTTGCCAGGATGAACCGGTTCATGGAAATTGATTCTGAGTGAATCTGGCTCCGGAAGCATGTGTGTTTGGGCAGAGAATGGGTAGAGAATTTGAAGGATGTCGGATATATATATACACATTTGAGACCATGAGGTATACGGAGAGAAAAACAAAGCAGCTGCAGACGTTGTTGATTAGTATCGTTGTGTGAAATGGTGATTTTCACGGCGTCTGTTGCAAATCCTCTCCTTCTCTCTCTTTCAACCATAACCCGGTCCAAACAGAAATACCTTCCAGTCCATCTTCCCGGCTCAGCACATCCTCATGAATATACCCCCGACTCTCCCATCGTACATGTGGTTTCACAGCAACACGAGCTCAAGAATCGGTGGTTGTCCAATGCGTCGGCAGGAATCCCACCTACTCTCGTCGCAGAAGCATGGTGAGGATCGACGGCACGATAGGGAAATGCCGGTTGGGAACCAAGCCCCCTTTCTTGGTGTCTTCGCAGGGCACGCGTGAGTGACTTACATTCGCGGACGGTCGTCGACGGTTGATGAGTTCTTCAGATTTCCTGTTGAGGGGTGTGGACGTCGGTCGAGTGATGTGGTTTTGAAGACGATGCGGTGGGGAAGGAGCTGCGGAATTTGTATTTTGACCAACTAAGTCTGCAATGCTTCTATAACGTTGTATGGGTAGAAGACAACGTCGATATAGCCCTTGGCCTCAAGGCTGACTGGTGATATCCGGCAGAATGTAACAGATGTTACAACTTGGGCTGCGAAGAGTTGCGTGATATTTTTTTGTCATTGCTTGTTTCGACGACGCTCGTTGTGAATGCTTCATTCTCCCTTGGGATCCTGAACATTGCAGTTAAAAATGTCAAACCAAACCCCCCAAAGCGACATATGACCATGCCCACACGCTGTACAACATTGCTATATCGAATTTTGAGGGTTACCTCGTTGGACATCTTTCCAAATCCAAGCCCAGACTCGTAGATATGGACAGATAAAACCCTCCAATAGGTCGTCCTCACCCGCTCCCGTTGGGAGAAGGCCCCATACTCATCGCCGCCTCAAACGACGGATCCAGCTGCAACGAGCCGTCACTCCCCGCACCAAGCCCAAACCCATCCTGCGCCTGCGCGGGATCCCCGACGGCCCCGTCTGGCCAGCCCATCTCCATCGTAGCCCACAGGTCGTGGTACACAGGCTGCCCGTTCACCATCGTCACCGCGCCGCTCGGCATCTGCGAGGCGGCCAGGCCGTGGGGACCACTCGGATTCAAGCTCTGGTCCCAGACCGGAAAGTACTGGTCCAGACTGCCGTCGAACATCGGGCACCCGCGTATCGTCCTCGGCAGCTTGTTCACGGGGGTCTCGATGTTGGCGATGCGGGCCTCGTACTTTCGCTTGATGACGGCGAAGATGACCTTGCTCGCGCCCAGGACGTCCATCTGCTTCGTCGCGGGCGTCAGCTCCTCGTGGTCCGCCGACAGCCGCGACAGGTAGGAGCCGAACTGCAGCTGCTCGCGGGCGCGGGCGTGGTCCCACTCCGGGCAGATGGGGAGCGGGAAGGAGACGCGGATGGCGGCGATGACGGCCTGGATGAAGCGGCCCCAGTCTATGGAGGCGAAAGAGACGAAGGCGGGCTTGTCGAGGGAGAGGATGAAGTCGAAGAAGGTCCGGAGGAGGGTGAGACAGCGCTGGAGGCGGCTTGCGGGGATGGGCGGGCCAAGGTCGCTGTCCCCTATCTTTGACGTCGAGCGGAGCTGGAAGACGGGGGCGGCGAGGAGGTAGATTTCAGTGAAGAGGTTTGCGGCGGTTATGGTTTCTGGCGGTTGTTAGCGATGAGATGTTTGATGGATTCGTTTGCGGGAATCAACACACGTAGGTCGTTGAGACTGCTGGGCATCCGCCCCCGCCACTCCCTGAACTGACTCTCGAGACCCAGGTTCATGAAATGCACCTGCTGCTTGACCTGCTCCGAGGCCGGCTTGATCTTCGCCAAGGTGGTCGCCTCCTCTGAGATGTGTTGCATACGGGCGAGCCATGCCAGCATGTGGTCGCCCTCGAGGACGGAGCACCGCTCGAGAAGGTCGCAGCAGGTGGCGGTCCACGAGGTGAATTGAAGAGTCGCCGTCTTTGCCCAGCCAGTTGCAAACCTAGCATCGGTCAGAGAGCACTTGCGGAAATACTGTAGGAAAGGCAAGACGTGCGCTGAGATGAGGTAGTAGCAGGAGAGGTAAGCGCGCATCCCGTCTATTTGCTCTGGCGTGGGATCTGAGGCGGCGGTGAGGCCCGGGGGCGCGTCGGCGAGGTCTAGGTCTTGGAGGATCTCGGCAGCCATGCGGACGTATTGGAAAGCTTGTTTGCTCTTGGGCCGGAGGTGGAATGGGTACCTAGATATGTTTGTGAGTTGGTGTATCGTGTGAACGGGACGAGAAGCGACGTACCAGGCGGTGTAGATGAGCAAGCCTTGAAGAAGCTCCATAGTCCGCTCGCAGCCAGCGACGAACTTGAGGCCCAGTATCTTTCGAAATTCTTCGTCGTATAACGTGTGGCCTTGTAACGCGGTGGAACCGGAAGCTGTGGCGAGAATGGCGAGAAGGAGAAACGGTTTCGTCTTTGATAAGGACGTGACGGTGGCATCCGGCGGCAGTGAGACGCACGGGTAGTTCTTTAACATGACCCTAAACGTCTGCAGCAACTTCTCGGCAGAGTCGAGGTTGAATTGAGGCTTCAGGCCAAAACTCGACACAGACACGGCGGGACCAGATGATGGTGGTGATGATATCGTGGAGTGTGAGCCGCCGCTACCGGATTCAGTGAGGCCAAACATCATGTCGATGGAGTCCAAGTCCGAATCTGGCGGCATGAATTCATCGAGATAACGCTCATGACGCGTGGCTAGGCTCCCGACATCGTCAACGTCATCTAGCTGGGGCATCTCGAAGTCGATGCTGAAGGTCTTGGATGGGCCTGGTGGAGGCGGTGGTCTCGGCACGTCTTGATTTCTGGAACAGTGTGAGCATGTCGATTCAAGAGACCAAGACGGTCAAAGGCATCCACTGGAGGATTCAAGCCTGGAAAACAGGTTGAGGTCTTACAATTTAGATTGACGTGGTCGTCGGGTCCTTGGTCCAGTTCGAAAGACGCATTCTCTCTTGAATTCAAGGCATCTGATTCGCGCAGAAAATGTGGTCAGTATGCACGTCGACTTATACGCCGAGCTGCCTCGGGAGACAACGTCGTCTAGCCAGGAGGGGAAGGCACACACACCTTCGACATATACCAGTCTGGACACTAGGCTGGCATTTGACCTTGGCAGCTCTACAGGCTTCGCAGGCGTTGGTGACCCGCTGTCGTGGGGTCGCGGTGTTGTTTGCGCCATCGTGTTCGGCGTTGGGCTCCATCGTGAAGGGTGGATGAGGGTCCGGCGGAGATCGGGACGGCCGGGTTGATAGCCGGAAGGAAGCGTGGTGAGGGGAAAGCGATAACGGCCGTTGGATGGCAACCCAGGGAGGGACAACGAAATGAAAGACGAAGAAGTCAAGTGAGTCGCCGCATCCGGGTGGGTGGGGAGTTAAAGCTGCTGACGGATTGTAGATGAAAGCTGGCCAAGACGGGTCGGTTTGTTTTTCGAGAGAATCAGAGAGTCTTACCAGACCGCTGGGGCCCCGTAGACGCGAACAATGCAGTGAGATGATGATATGAAGCTCGTAAGAGCAAATAATCGCGGGCAGCTCCGCTCGTGTCCAGGGTAAGATACGCGGCAGTGTGAAGCATGCACGAGGTCAGGCATCGCATCGCGGTGGGTGAGAGTGAAAAAAGCAGCCAATAATGTTCCGATGCCCTTCGGATGTTGGCGATTGGCTGGGGCCCCAGATGCATGCACAGAACCACGCTAATTCGACTCCGCTAGTAGGGCGGAAATCAGGGGTCTGGACTGCTGTGACGCCAACTTGGGACGGCATTTGGCCTGCAGCGGTGTATCAAGATAAGTTCCGGCCTCCTTCGGAGCTTCTCCCTTTGGTGACGACTGCGTCCCCGCAACCCATGCAAGTAAGCTGACGTATGTTTTCAAGTTTGCGATTGTGGGAAAATTTAGCAGATTGTTTTTCGATGGATTCTACGAATCGGACGGCTGGATTCGTTCTAGATACAACCATTTCTTATGCTACCCCAAAGTCCTCGATCTCCTCCAGTAGGTACTTAACGAACAAGAGGGTTCTCGAACTTCCCGCTTCCGACTCACGCAACAACTTCATCTAACGGAATTGAAAGGCTGGTGGCCAGCAGAGACCTCGTTTAACCCTCATTGTGGAAGCCAGTTGACACAGACTGCCGACTATGTCATAAGACGTGTACCAGATAACAACTTCAGTGCTTGAAGTCCTTGATATCAGGGTTGTTTCCCTTGAAAATGCGCTCAAATGCATCATCAATCCTCCACACAAACTTCGATATGTCGTTGACGTGATACTTGGTTTTATCGTCGTTGTCGTAGATCAAGTGCTCGCCCTGCGTGTCGAGATCGATCCCAAGACCTTTCCAGTTGGGAATGTGCACCCCGTCACGATGCGTCTGGAAATCCGAGCTCGCGCATCGCGAGGAGCAGTAGACAGTACTCTGGCCCAATTGCTCCGCACACTCCTCGCAGATGACGGCTCCCTCGCCGCTGTCGCCCATCTCCTCATCCTCGTCCTTAAGTTGGATGCAGCCTTCGCCGGCGGCGCAGCTGTGGGCGCTGTTGACGTGTTCCTCCTGTCCACTTGTCAGAATATCATTCCGTCTGGAGTTGCAGCAGTACGTACGTAGCCTTGCTCAAAACACTTCTCCGAGTCGAACACCGTCCTCTTAGTCAGGCTCAGCTCGGCGAAGATCAAGCACGCTGGGCACGCGATGACATCTTCTGGAGACACCTTGCCCGAGCATACGTTGCACGGCGGGAGCTCGTACAGCTCCTTGTTGACTTGCGGGGCTTGAGGAGGAGGTTGCTGGCGCTTCTGAGCTTTCAGCATCTTATCCTGCTCATGTGCTGCCTGCGCCCTCTTCAACTCGTTCAGCGTCCGCTTGTGTCTGTCCATATTACTTGACGCCTGCGACCTCGAAGGCTTGTCGGCCTCCATCACTGCCATCACGTCTTCGAGGTCCGCCCCGGCCCGCAGTTTCTCCACGTACTTGGCGCATGATGCTGGAACCTCGCCTGTCTTGGGATCGCGGAAGAAGACGTCGACGATAACGTCATTTTCCTTCTCCGGAGTCAAGTTGTCGAATTTCGAGAGTACATCCGCTAGCCGCGGAACGTTGTCGACACCACTGTTGACAGCCTTGCGAACATCCCCGGTCAAATCGGCGATAGGCTTCTCTTCGTCCTCCAATGCAGCCTGGAAGGTGGCCTTACCCATGGACGCCTCGGCGGCACGGCCTGCCGCCGTCTTTGGCAGAGTCTCCCGGTAGTGCTTCGCCTTCTCCTTGTCTATCCGGGTCTCAATGGCTTTGAGGTCGTCTGTGAAGTCCTTGAGCTTCGCGAATAAGCTGTCGAGGTCGCTCAAGAATCCGGTGTTGTTGGAGAACCACTCGTCCTTGGAATCCAGATACCTGCTCCTCATGGTCTCCACCAACTCTCCATGACAATCCTTGCAGTGCGCAACATGGGCTTTTCCGTGGTTCTGTGCGCACTTGCTCTTGATATTCTCGACGGAGTCGGCCGTCTTCCGTTGCCTCCTCTGGCTATCCTGTATTTGCTTGATCCTACTCATGGTGAGTGCCGTTGTCAGGGCGACGATGGTCCGGCGGATGTGTCGAAGTTGAGTCTGAGTTGAGAACGATCTCTACTAGTCGGAATAGTATAATTTGTGTCAACTTGATGAGATTCCGGATAGCTTTATAAAGTAGAGATCATGAACCGATGTGTCTGTTGCTGAAGCGAGAGTTCCAAGCAAGAAGTCGAGACTGAGAGGTCCGTGCCGTACCTAGGTAAGTCAAGGTGAAGTGGGTCCACAGAGGTGAGTGTCCCTTTCCGATAATCTCGGTGAACGCTTACCGGGGTTCAGCCGGCGCATCCAAGCACGGTCGAACTGTCTCTGCCTGCTCAATCTACAACTTTGCTGTAACATCCACAACCAACCCACGCAGACAAAATGGTCAGTACTCTTCCACCCGGCTAACTGTGTTATTCTAATAGAAATTCTTGATAGGCCGATAAACTTCGCAACCAGCAAGAACTCGAGCGCCTGCAGGCCAAGTACATCGGCACAGGACACCCCGACACGACGAGTTGGGAGTGGAAGACCAACATCTACCGCGACACCTACTCCTCCATCGCCGGCCACCCTCCCATGCTCTCCTACATGGCCTTGGCCGAGAACGAGCCCACGCAACTGCTCAGAGCGAGACTGATTCGGGTACGTCTTCATTCAGCAGAACCCGTCCGATGGGCATAAATAGCATGTGTGCTAACTTGCTACCAGAAAATGATACAACCTGCCGGACCGCCGCCGGTACGCGAGGATTAACGGCCGAAACGGGATTACTACGCATCGAGTTTCGCGGTTGAGAAAACATCAAAGGCGTTGGGGACTGCTTTGCTTGGGACCATAAAATAGGGCGTAGATACCCTTGATAATTCATTGCCATCACTGGCTTTTCACGTATCTGCAAGCGACGATTGCTTCTACTCTGGGGTATTCGTGGCACCACCGTGCCCGCAGGCTTTCTCGCAACGCCCTCCACGTCCAAAACCGCCTCAGTGTGATGGTCCGGCCTCAGGAGCCTGCGACATGTCGGCGTCACCATCTGCATCCACCGCCTCGATCCCCAGACTCGCCCCAAGTTTCCTCTCAAGCGCCTCGTCCGCCTGCTCGCCGTAAACCGTTCGCACCATGCCCGCAACGCCGTCGATGCCGATTTCCTCTTGGCCACGAGGTCCCACCAGCCATGTGATGTCCTCGCTGCCGTCGTTCGCCTGCGAGGCCGGGTTCTTCTGCACCTTGCGAACTACATATCCCTGAGCCTGCATCCGCTTAAGAACATCTTCCGTCTTATCGGCGGCCACGTTGGCCTCGGCGTTGACTCTGTTGAGATACCGCCGCAGCTTCTGATCGGACAGCTCGCCGCTGCTAAGCAAGATTATGGATATGATCATAGAATAGAAGCCGATGTAGGACGCTTCGATCTCGGCGCTTGGGGCTTTTGAGGGAGCGAGGATCGTGGTATTGCGGTATTGGGAGGGAAGTGTTGTGGAGAGGACGAAGACGCCGGAGCTGGTCTTAGCTTGGGAACCGGATTTCAATGCTGTCCAGTGTCAGCACTCAGTAGGATATGCTCAGATTTCTGTCGGAACCTACCTTGTCGCTTCTCTGCCATTGTATATCTCTCCCTGACTGCGAGTTCACGCAGCTCCATGCCCCAGACTGTCCGGAGCTGTTGCTGCGACAAATCGAAGACTTTCCTGAAGGCTCTACCCTGGTCTCCGAGAACTTGTCGACGGTAAGCAGCAGTCACCCAAAGCGTGCTGGGCATCGCATACCTCGCTCCTTGATACCATCTCGGCGGATCGGGGTCCGAGAAAACTCGCACGCGAGGGCGTAGCGCACCAATTTCTTGGCGAGCTGGTCGTCCGGGCTGGCCTCGCCGTTCTCTGCATCTTCCCCAGCATCCTCCGAGTCGTCGTTATCGCGGCGCTGTCTGCGATGAGGCACTTCCTCTTCCGACTCGTCGTCTTCGACCTAATGACTAGATGTCAGTCGTGAATCTGTGAGCGGGGGCCGCGGGGCATACTGGTCTTCTGCGTCGTTGAGAGGGAGGCATGGTGACGTATTTCTGGACGATAGAGACTAAAGAGAGTTGTGTTCGAAGAGTTACGAGGTCGCTATATTGAAGAAATATGTTTCGCCTGCCCAAATTTGCGACAAGTCCTTTTTCTATGAATGAGGTTTGCCGTCAAGGTCGTTGCTGCATCGGACGCGACGCGGCGCACTTTACTTCGCGATTTCCTTATCTAATCTCTTATCTTATCGACAACCACCATGCCTGTCGCAAATTTTGGGAGCTTTAGCTCGATATACTTGAACGATTCCCAAATGCCTTGAACCAGTTTGCCACTCCTGACCGGCATATTTTCATACCCCAAATGATTTCCCGCGCAGCGCTTGCTCGAAGCGTATGTCTGCGATGCCAATTGCGACTCCTCGACCGAACCAGAGTTCATAGCTCACCACGAATACCCCCCTTTCGATCCGAACTCCTCCAGAGGCGAAGTTATAGTGCCCAATCTGCGTGGGACCGCCTTGAGGCGGATTCACCGCAGCAAAAGCAAGAGGGGGATAGGACACCGAATCGTACGAACCCGAACAATGCCTCTGTTAGAGATGCGCCATTTCAAACGCCAGCCGAACCTGCTTCGAGCCAGGCTACGACAGTAGAAGCCGATGCAGCACCGAATAGTAAAAAAGAACCAGGGCCTGCCGCAGCCGCAACAGAGCAGTCCTCCGAGCAACATGGCCCTTTGCTGTTCAAGAAATTCGAGTATAAAGAGCGCCGTGACCATAAGCGCGTAGGCAACCGTCGAGTGTATCTCGAGACCACGAATCTCAAGGCCAAGATGCTGGGCAAGCATGCCCGCACCGTCATTATGCGCGATGAGCCGATACGGCCCCCAAGGATTCTCCCCGTGGAAGACCTGACACCGGAGGAGATCGACCTCGACTTGGAGCTCGAGAGGATGAACAGGGGCGTCACCATGGAGGAGGCGCTGGCTCACATCGACGAGCTGCGTCCCAGCGACAGCATCGTCTACCAGTCGGAGTTTGAGGAGTTGTTCGACAAGGTGCATAACGGCTTCACAGTCGCGCAGGTGCGGGCGTACCTCATCCGTGAGAGCTCGGCCGTCGTAAGACGATCGGCAAAGGAGGAGGTGGAGTACGACTGGCTTGAAGGGAAGCAGTCCTGGACACCCGCGCGGACACTCGAGACTGCCGAGTTGCTGCCGAAGGAGAGGCTGGTCATGACCCTGATGAAGGAAGCCTGGAAGTTGGAGCTCAGAGAGGTGGTCGACGGTGTAGGCACACTTTTTACGAAGGCGAACGAGCTGTTCTTGTCTGTGTTGGCGAGTAAGTTGCAAAGATGGATTCTGGCTGCGACATGTACTGACGAGAACCAGGGGATGGCAAGCGCCTCAGTTTTATCAGGGATACCTACCTGGACGAGGGCGAGAAGATCTTCGTCCACCGAATGTTGAGAATTCACGCCACCAAGGCCAAGACGGATACGATCTTGAAGGAGCTTGACAAGGCGGCGAAAGACATGGTCAGCCACACAATCGAGCCAGTAGGGATTTCGAGAAACGATGTCGACACTCGACTCCTGTCACATCTCGGTCGGCTCATGAATTGTACCATCACTCTCGTCCCGGGAAAGAAAACAAAGGTCAGTGACTTTCATCGACATGACGGCTTCCGCCATCTAACCGGAAAACAGATCCGTGTGTCGTGGCTCCGTGACGGGTCACCAGAAGAAGGCCGAGAACGTCCGGACAACGTCGTCCGACGTCTTCTACACACCGCTCTTTACCCCAGACATTCTACCGTCACCCTCAAATACCCAGAAGACGCCGAAGGCAGGCTCATTCCTCAAGCTGGCGGGCGCGAAAAGCTGTCCTGGCTGGACAGGGTCACACAGTGGTCTCGCTGGATGGAGCCGATAGGTCGTCTTTCATCGTATGAGTCTGACGACCATCTCAAAGTTAGCGAGGTCCTGCCGCGGCCGCTCCGGGCACCGCAGCAAGACTCGGATGAGACCTGGAGCAAGCCTTACACCTCGGCCGTCGCCAGCTTTGGTCAAATCCTCCACCAGAGCACCGGCAGCTTCAGCATCGACGACGCCGCCGAGAACATCACCCACATCTTCTCACCAACCTCCCCTCCTCCCGCCAGTCTAGCCACCCTTTCCGACGCCGTCACGAAAGCCGGTCCCGTCACGACGTCTCTCATCCTCACCTTCCGTCCCCACCCGACAGTCGCAGGGAACTTATCCCGCGACCTCCCCGGCCTCCTCGAACTGCACCTCACCGTCCCCGACGACCTACCCGAAGGCCCCCTCACCTGGGACTCCTGCCCCAAGCGTCTCGTCGCCGTCCAACGCTCCAACATCGTCGACGTCGCATACCCCTCACAGCCCATCGACCTCCGCATCTCCCAGCCCGACCTACGAACCATGTCCGCCTCCGCCCTCGACTCATCACCCTTCCGCGAGTACATCGACTCCGCCAAGCTCGACCTCCTCGCCGGCCGCCTCGGTCCCCCGCCGCAGATCACGCTCTCGGGGCTCCCCTCGGCCACCCGCGCCGGCGGGACGATCGACGCGCCGGTCGACTACATGTTCACCGGCCTCGAGATGCGCCGCACGCTGGAGGCCGAGTACCAGGGCCACAAGCTCCAGTACAACAGCATCCAGGCCGGCCACCACGGCGGTCGGCGCGCGGAGCTGGTGCTCGAAGCCACGCCGCCGGACGAGTCCCTCTCGAAACGGGAGAAGACGGCACATACCGAGAAGTACATCCGCCTCGTCGAGGATCTTGCCCGGGGAGACGTAGTCAAGTGGGTTGGAGAGAGGGACCTGGCGGCAGAGCAAGCCGGCCCCGTCAGGAAGGTCGCCGAACGGCACGCGCCGGCCAGAGAGGCTCCGCAGGAGAGCGTGTCGTTGCCTGTCGACGAGTTTCTCGCATCGAAGAAGCAACAGGGGGAAGCTGGCCTCGCCGCCGATGAGGGCGAGCTTCAGCAAGAAGTCGATAGACCCGTCTCTGACGGGACCATGTGGTCGGAGGAAGACAACGGTGCCGGGGCGGCTTCGGAAGAGGGGGATCAGGGCGAGAAGCCAAAGGACGGCGGTGAGGTGTAAGATATACTGGACATTATACCACGTGTCATTATACCACGTGTAATATGTATCATATGTACAAAAAACAAAAGCCCAATCAAGTAAAACATCATAAGCAGACTACCTACGCACCCGGCTTCGGTCGTCACGAGATATTCCCTTGCATTGAGGTTCACGTCGTCCGGGTCTTGCTCAATAGTCTAAAATCAAGGCCACTCAAGGTTTTGATCAAATATGTCACAGCCAGTAACTACAGCTGAATTTTTACGAACCTTCCTCGCCTCAAATGGTTACAGAAGATATCCTCTGCCGGTCTCTTGACAACTTGACATCTTGACGTTGAAATGTCTGGACCGCAACATGATGCTGGCTCAGCCGCGGCGAGTACTAGGCACCACACCCCAACTCGATGAGCGGCGCTCACGCACTGGGGTACTCCAGGGAGGAAACAGGCAAGCATAGACGCTCAGTATCCAGCCGGCAGCAGTCCACAACAATCGGCCGCGCAGCAGCGACATCGCTTTGGGCACAAAATCACCGAGTCACGTCGCGAACACGTCACAGGCAAAAAGGCACAGCAGGTTTTTTAACTTGGGAATCACTTCTAGGACTCTATTTTGGTGCTAACTAGCACGTATCATGAGAAGTTTTTTGACGTTATCATCCATCCTTCCTCCCGATATTCGTGCTCCGAGCCATATCATGTGTCCTCATGCCACGCAAAGGGAATTCGTTAAGCCGTAGAAGTGAGCATCCGCGACGATGGTGCGGCGGGCGTACTCAGAACCCAACCCTGGAGAGTCAAGTCGCTTATTTCTTGGCAGCCTTGGCAGCGGACTTGGTGACCTGTTGATGAGATTGTTAGTGGATGATGATGGTAGACATGGGAGGATGTGTGAACGTACCTTGCCAGCGGAGGCAGCGGACTTGTCGACGGACTTGATGACACCGACAGCGACGGTCTGACGCATGTCACGGACGGCGAAGCGGCCCAGAGGGGGGTAGTCGGTGAAAGCCTCAACGCACATGGGCTTGGAGGGAACCATCTTGACGATGGCGGCGTCACCAGACTTGATGAACTTGGGGTTGTTCTCGACAGACTTGCCGGTACGGCGGTCGATCTTCTCGAGGATCTCGGAGAACTTGCAGGCAATGTGGGCAGTGTGGCAGTCGAGAACCGGGGCGTAGCCAGCACCAACCTGACCGGGGTGGTTCAGGACGATGACCTGGGCGTTGAAGGAAGCAGCGCCGGCGGGGGGGTCGTTCTTGGAGTCACCGGCGACGTTGCCACGGCGAATGTCCTTGACGGAGACGTTCTTCACGTTGAAACCAACGTTGTCACCGGGCTTACCCTCGGTGAGCTGCTCGTGGTGCATCTCGACGGACTTGACTTCAGTGGTGACGTTGGCGGGAGCGAAGGTGACGACCATGCCGGGCTTGATGATACCAGTCTCGACACGGCCGACGGGCACAGTGCCGATACCACCGATCTTGTAGACATCCTGGAGGGGAAGGCGAAGGGGCTTGTCGGTCGGGCGCTTGGGGGGCTCGATGGCGTCAATGGCCTCGAGGAGGGTCTTGCCAGTGACCTTGCCGCCCTTGCCCTCCTTCTCCCAGCCCTTGTACCAGCCAGCGTTGGTGGTGGGGGCAAGCATGTTGTCGCCGTGGAAGCCGGAGATGGGGACGAAAGCAACAGACTTGGGGTTGAAGCCGACCTTCTTGATGAAGTTGGTGGTCTCCTTGATGATCTCCTGGTAACGGTCCTCAGACCACTTGGTGGTGTCCATCTTGTTGATGGCGACGATGAGCTGCTTGACACCAAGGGTGTAGGCGAGCAGAGCGTGCTCACGGGTCTGGCCATCCTTGGAGATACCAGCCTCGAACTCACCAGTACCGGCAGCGATAATGAGGATAGCGCAGTCGGCCTGGGAGGTACCAGTGATCATGTTCTTGATGAAGTCACGGTGACCGGGAGCGTCTGATGAGGGTTAGTGCATGTTTCCAATGTGAATGCCACGAAGACCGCAGTCTCGCAATCCGCGAATCGGTGAAAAATTCGCCAAAAATCGCAAAGGCCACTGGGGACAAGCAATTTCATGGAAATCTTGTCGCGATTCGCAGATTCGGAAGAAATCAAAGAACTTACCAATGACGGTGACATAGTACTTGGGAGTCTCGAACTTCCAGAGGGCAATGTCGATGGTGATACCACGCTCACGCTCGGCCTTGAGCTTGTCAAGGACCCAAGCGTACTTGAAGCTGCCCTTGCCCTGTTTTTTTCATTAGTAGAGGTCGCAGATGATCGTGGGAAGTGTACTCACGAGCTCGGCAGCCTCCTTCTCGAACTTCTCGATGGTACGCTTGTCGATACCACCGCACTGGTAGATCAAGTGACCAGTGGTGGTCGACTTGCCGGAGTCGACGTGGCCGATGACGACGACGTTGATGTGAGTCTTTTCCTCCTTACCCATGGTTGCGGTGTTGGTCGAAGAAGTGAGATGTGGTTGAAGTGAAAGCTGTGGGGAAGGGAACACGTCAGTGATGAGTTTTGGCAGGAGGGACTGCGATGAAAGGACTCACTTTGCAGATGTCAAGATAATCGACGGTATGCTAGACGAAGAGAGGAAGAAGGAGAAGAACCAGAGAAGAGTGTGAGGGGAAGTTGAGTTTATAAGGGAGGAGTGGTTGTTGCGGATGGGTTTGTGTGGATTTGGGTCGAGTGGGAGGGGAATAAGTCGACGAGGGTGGGCGGCGACGGGCGAAGGAGGGGTTCGAAAACTTTTGCGGCGGGGCAAGTGGGTCTCAGTCGCTGCCTCCGGTGAATGCCCTAGAAATTGTATCACACCAAGGAATTATTTAATTGTTGTTGTCGACGTAAATGCGGCTCTTGATTGGTCGACTTGAATGGTCGAGATGTGTGAGTTTGGCATATACCTCTGTATCCGTAGCTTTGTGGTACCGCGGGAGTCTCAAAGTCTCACGTACTACCACCCCGCCACTCAGACCCCACCTCGACCGGCCGGCCGCCGTGCCAGCGCCTTCTGCCACCCGACCTACGTAGGTAGTACGTTCACTGCGGGCTGCTCTTGCTCTACGCTCGAAAACAGCAGTAACTGCCTCAAATTTGGCATCTACGTGTAGCTAATCCGTCCATTAGTCGCTCCTTCCTCACGAGCAGTTACCAAACCTGTTCGTGCCTTCCCAGGAGTTGTGACAAGTCTTAGGTAGACTATTGCCGCCGTCCATGATATCACAAGCGAGGGGCAACCGAAAAAAAATGGAGGGGCACTTTTTTTTTTCTTTCTGGCTCGCTGTTCGCGGGGCAACACCTTGCAAACGGGCACCGCCGTCGCATGCCGCAGCTCTCCCAGAGTCTCAGTGGCCTCATCTTGCACCCCACTCCGAGAGCTCCAGACGCCCAGGCCCTGAGCTGCAGATCTGAAAGACGGTGATGTCAATTCGCCGGCTCAGCCAGACCGTCCGTCCTTTTGGCATCCCGACACATCACGATGATTTTTCCAAACGGGAGCTAGCTGCCCGTCGTCGTCTGAGGGAAGGAGGGGCTTACTGGCATCACTGCTCTCTTTTTTACCGGGGCCGTCTGCAGCATGGAGCTGGCCAAGTCACCACTGAGCCTACCTTACCTGCCTTCTTCTGTCTCAGGCGCCAGCGCGGCAGCACAATTTTTTCTCTTTCTCCTGGTGCTTTGTCCCAATACGCAAGAGAGACTTTGATGTACATGGACGGCGATAAGGCTCCATGGCTACCATTTCTGCCCCTCCACCCCTCCGGATCCCTGCCAGAGTCAGCAAGGTTGCCGCGCAGCCCAACCTGGAACCCCCAGCGGTGCGTCCCAAGGTCTGAGCCCAACTCTTCTTTCGGCATGAGTCACGTTCTCTGGCAGTCTCTGCCACTTCTTTGGCACTCTCGAGACTGGCACCTCTGTAGCAGAAGTGCGACGAGACCATGGTCCATCCTTCCTCGAAACCAAGGCTCCTCCGTGAGGCCTGTCCTTGCCCACGGCTCTTGTCTGTGCCTTAGTAAAAGGCCCCTGTACTCTCTGTCTTCAACGATACGGCGCCAAACTACGAGAGGCAACCGTGATGGACTTTGATGGACGCAAAGGCTTGTGACGACGTCCGGCGAGTGAGCCAAGGTTGGCCCCCAATCTAAATATCGCCCCCTTGATGACCGCACACCGACCGAGGAAAAATGTGGCTGATGTGGACGGCGGCAGCTGGCAATGCGGGGTTCCATCTTGAAAAAAAAAATTCTGATCGTGCTCTCTCTATCGAGGGAAAAAAAAGGTCAGACCGGGGGGTGGCGACAAGATCCAGGCCAGGGGTGACGTGCAGCATTAAGCGCCTGCGCCGCCAACAAGGGCAATGTCGCTGTTTTCCTCTTCCCTGCCCGGACTTCTGAAGCAGTGGAGGGGCAGTAGCATTGCATGATGCACGTTGCCATGGCGCCGGTCTTTTCCAAAATTATTTTTTTATCTCTGAGAATCTGGATAGAAAATCAGAATTGCGACGGACTGAGGCGAATTTCCAAAGCAATCTGAGCTGACCGCCATCTTTCCGTCGTGGGACAAAGCGGAAGTGAGGGGTAATTTTTCCTTGAGTGATAAGATAACGAACTTCAGAGATATCTCCACGTGACCTGCAACTTCAAAGCAGTCGTTGAATCTCTTTTTGAATGTCTGCTGATTGTTTTCAAGCGCATGAGAAATTCTCACCTGTAATGTTTACATGAGGTCAAATTAGGAAAATTTCACGGGTGAAGTTCCGTGCCGGCCCCACCCCCGAGCCGTGGTGACCGGATCATGTGACCTCACATCAACGGACAGCCTCCCATTGGCCGAGGGCCAATGGAAGCAACAACTGCTCTTTCCCGGAGCTTGCCGTTGCCAAAGTCTACCTTACAATAACATCAGCTCGCAACCTCGACTTATTCCTGTCGACATTGACTAACTACCTGGCTGACTGACCGACCGATTACATGTGTTCTTATTGCGACTTTCCAGCTCTCAGAAGACCTGCTGACAGTCCAGCTTGCCAGAGAACCAATTCTTCAAGTCGCCGAAGTCTACCTGCGCGTTCTGCAACCTACCGTTCGGCCGACACCAGATTTCTCTTCCTACATCCGCTTTACTTCTCGATGATTCTCAGTCATTCTCGGCGCGGTCACCTTCCGCCGTACACAAGCTATTGAGCTCTCGCTTTTTTCCGTCGTTCCATCGCTGCCGAATTCGACCCCGCCCCCCGCCCCCGCCGTCTGTGCGTCCTGCCGAGTCGATCGAGAATACGGCGACACCCTGAAGCTGTGCGCAAGCAGCTTTCCTTTTCCAGCGAGTGAAATTGAGCGGTACACCCAGTCCACATACCGTTCTTTTTCTCCGGAAGTTCGACTGCTGCCAATGGTGAGGTTCGCTGAACAGAAGTGGCCGCAAGGCCTTCGAGGTTTCTCAACTTCAAAATGCTGCTGCTGGGTCGATGTGATATTCCGAGGAATCTCGGCGTGGTGGGTGGCGACAGTTGGCTCTCCACCCCAGTGCTTGTCTTGATGCGCTGTTGCTCCTATTCTGAACTTTTGTGTTTGCATCTTCACCTCTTGGGCAATCCTATGATCTTCTCACGATTCTCCTACTCTCATGCTACCTGCCTGTGCTCTGGATTACCGGTTTTTGTAGGGCAGAATGCCTCCCAGCTAAGGACTGATGCACCTTGCCACCCCACGTTCGACATTCAGTGGACCCGATCAGAAACCACGCGTTAAAACACCTGTTGAGATGTCGGCTGATTAGGCATTGAATATACCGGGAGTAGTGAAGGATGCGGAAGACGATAGAGGAGACGATAGAGGAGACGATAGAGAAGACGATAGAGAAGACGATAGAGACGAAGGGACCTGGAGATATTGGCTGAATACGAACTAAACACACCGGGAAGGGTAACGAAATCTAGAGGGGAGAGAAAGACTGCTACAGCTCACGCCAACGTCTCTATGCATGTATGAGCGGCCTTTAGGCTTTTCGGGATTCAGCAGGGCGTATATATCAGGTGTGCCACTTCTCTCATAACCAAGGATTCTCATCTACATGGAAGAAGATCTATGAGCAGCAGCGGGTTTGATGAATAGGCTCGCTGCGTTACAACCACGCGCCGAGAACATTGGCTCCGTTTGCGACGTAGATATCGTCCACAACATCTGTGAATTATCTTTCGAAGCCCACATCCGAGAACGAAGAGCGCGTGTTTAGCATTTATTTTTTCACGGAGTTACTGCCGCGAAATTCTAACACGGTGGTTACAGTCTTTTCGAGGCACTTCATTGTGTTATCGAGGTTTGTCGTACGTGTGTCTTCCTTGGACAACATGGTGACAGGGGTCCATGTCCATTTGGTCTTCCTATTGTAAATGATATTGCTTACTCTCGTACATCATGAAGCTTATGATCCTCTCGGATTTCATAATAAAACTCCGGTGGGCAATGAGGCAAGCAAGGACATACCAGAACATTCCAAGCACCGATCCCAACCCCAGTCTTAGGAATCCTTACCGTCCCAGGTGAGGCGCCTGTTCTTATGATCTTCTCACAAATCTTTGGCGTCAGGAAGGCTGCCATCGAAAAGAAGTGATGTTCCAGCTTTCTGAAATCCTCTGGAAGCTGTTAGTCGCACAGTTTCAATACCATTTCAAGCATTGCATACCGTTTATTCGCAGTTGAACGGAAGTACCCAAGACAGACCCAGCGTCGGTATTCTTCTGGGTCACAGTCTGCGCTCTCCAGCGCCGCGTAAATGCCGAGAGGTCTGGCTTCATCCGTAGCCTCGAGTCCATACTCGACGCAGTCGACGGGAACGGGACACCCCTTGTCCCCAACATCAAATTCGATGAAGCAGTCCTGCCACCTCATGGGATAGACCTCGACGACATCCGGCTTTCCAGTAGCAAAATAGAAGGCGTTACATACCTTATCCCAAAATCGCCCGCCTTCCAGGATCTCTAGCCGTGTTCAGTGTCAACGTCTTTGGTCACGCGCACTGCAACTCTAACTAGATTAACCGTAGACGTAAGCCTAGCCCTAGTGTCCTTCAAAGCTATTCACGGCCTTATCACACACCATGTTCTGAGGCCGGATGGCCACAAAGTTTAGGTGTTTCTTAAACATAGGGCTGTCGAGGTAGGAGATATCAAATGCGCCGTGCCCAATACAGGGAGGGACTTGCCCCAAGGAGCAGCCTCTTTGTTGTCGTTCCCCGTCCTGCGTGGTCCACTCGACTTGGTCTCGACAACGATGACCTTGTTGGGCTTGGATGTTTCCTGCTTTTGTGCTGACATTGTAGAGGTTAAGATGGAGCGGCAACGATCATGATGATGACTCGAAATAGAAGCAAGGCGCTCGAAATCGGACAGAGAAGAAGACGACTCCGCTATGGTGGTTCTCTATTAGAGAAAGCCCACTGTGTCAGGTTGTGATGATGAAAGAATTTGTTTCGGAAGCTTGGAACGGTGAAAAAGACGAGTTTGGAGTTGATTTATTGCGTTAGGTTGAGATATCTAAGCCAGAAGCAAAGCACCCAGCTTTATATAAGTGAGAGAAAGGAGTGTCCAGGCGACCTATTGTACCGGTAAGGACAATGGAAAGATTGGCGGAAAGACGCATTCGTCATATCTTCCGTTTGTGGTAGCAAGCAGACAATGACCACTTCCATAGAAGCAAAATTACCACCTCTATTCCTTTGTTTTCTGTGTCCTATGTAACCATTCAGACCCATATATTGAGAGAGAACAAGGTAAGCGATAAATGTACAGATGAATCCATACTGCTGTCGGCATGAACCTGATGTGGATGAGTCCTGCGCCATGCTACCTTCTTCTCTTGATCATAGCTGAGCCACCAACAAAGTTATGTCTGTCGGAGGAACAGTAAGACGTGGATGTTTTTGGAGAACAGCGCTCGCATCGTCAAGAACTATTCTGGCACCAGTAATGGCGAAAATCGAGGGACAAGTTGGCCTAACCGATGTAAGGCGTTGTACTTCTGTACTGATCGTTCATGAACTTCAGCTTGGAACAGATCGATGAAATTCACGATTGTGTCAAATTCGCGTGGACCGGTAGGATGTGAGAAGATATCTCAGATTTCAAGCTTTCTCTGGCGCATATGATATTTGAAGTGAGCCGCTAATGATCAGTTGGCAGTGCTGACACTTTTTGGTCAGACGAGAACACAGGGCATCAGTCACAGAATTTGCGGCGAGAACAGATAAGATTAGGCCGTAGGCAAAAGCCCCCCTTCTCTTGCAATTTCCTGTCTTAGTCGCCCCCTAGAAGCTCGATACATGCTGTCGGCAGTGGTAGGAGTAGTTGCGCTCATATTTGCTTGTGAAGAGCGTAGCCGTATGCTAGCTCTACCCATGCTTGTGCCGTTGATAACCTGATTGCGGCTCACTTCTTCAACTTCTTCGACTTGTCCGACTTCTTTGCCTTGTCCGACTTCTTGGACTCGTCCGACTTCTTCGACTCGTCGGAACCCTCCTTGTAGTTTCTCTCCTTCACAAGCCGCTCGACCTTTGCCACCTCCATGTCGTAAAGTTCCTATCTCTCCATGTCAGTGTTGTGTCCGTGGCAGTAGAGTCATCAGATGTTATTGGAGACTAACAGCGATGGTGAGGTCGTGGTAAATGGATTTGCTACACAACGTCAGTGAAGATCACACCGGTTCTGAGATAATGACTCACGGCGCGGCTTTCTTCTTGGCCTCCTTCTCGGTCTTGGCCTTCTCGTATTCCTCCCAAACAACCTTTGGGTTCCTAGCAGCCGTCTTCGCCAGAGCCGCTGCAGCACTTTGTGTTAGATACACGTCGAACGGCCGGGGTATAGAACATAACCAACACAATGCTGGAACTGCGGCACTAGTTAGCATATTGAACACCCAATCCTGAAGCAAGGGCCGACCGATGCTCCCGTTCCTTTCACTTACTATCCCACGATATACGTTCCGCTTCCGCATCAATCGCTGTATTCCCGTCAGCATTTGACCTCTTCCAGAATAAATGGGAAGAATATCATTCATGCACATGACGTACCGTCCCAATCGATCGGGGGTTCGTTGACAGGGGCCATAGTTATTGGTGGTTGATGTAGGACGAAGGTTGGTGTATGGAGAAGGGTGATGTGGGAGGGAGGAAACAAAAAGCAGACGACAGAAATATCCCATTGGGAGTAATTCACTTTTAGCTAGTGGGCAGAGTTTTACACGCGCCTCACATTTGGAAAATTCACCAGAGCAGCTCCTTCCTCAAACCGAAAATTTCTTCCAACCTAAGGCTCACCTACCCGAGAACTCACCCACCCAAAGCAGTCACTTGCCTCCAGTACGAGAGAGCAAAACAAGTTCCCAGCATTCCCATTGATCTCAGGCTACCTTACACTGGTCAACTATTCTGACCATGACGTAAAAAATGACGGCCTCCTTTGGTGTCACCTCACAGACTCAGGGACGGTGAAACATCAACGAAAACAAAAAAGATCTGAGTGACAAAAAGCACAACCACACCTTTGAGTTCCAATGACCAGAGTAAACATATCCGGATCGGGTGTTATATGAACCAACCCGGACATCTGGACCATCTTGCCCTGCTCATTGGTGATCAAGGAAGAGCACAAACGAGCCCAAGGGAAAGATAGGTCGAAGGACAATTACACCAGCAAAGTGAGGGATATCTACTTAAGCTATTGTAGCCCATGTCACTTTTAAAACTTCAAACATCAGCTTGTACTTCCTGCTAAAGATGCCTCGGGTAAGACGAGGGAGTATGATGTATCCATACTCGCGGCTTTGCTGCTTGTATCTAGTCCTCGCCAGGTGAGATGCCGGAATATCATATCGTTCCATCATGATTGTTGTCTATACGCCCGGTCTAGCACCATGCATAGTACTCATTATCCTCCCACACGACCTCCCCCTCGCCCTTCCACCTCAAGCTCGGAATGCTCCCGTCAAGCCTCTCGTCGAACACGACCCTGACGGCGCCATCCGTCCGATCACTCACCCTCTTCGCCGACGCCGCGACCCCGTCGTCCGGATTCCACACCAGCACCTTCGCCAGCCCCCAGTCCGCCGCCTCCAGCACCGCAGCGTGCAGCAGCGCCGTCACGTCCGCCCGCGGATCCCCCGCCACCCGCAGCACCTTGAGCTTCTTCTCCCGGAAGTCGTGGTCCCAGTACACCCAGGCCCCGCCGTCCGCCGTCACCGCCCCGTGGTTGACCACCTCGCGGCCCTCCCTCAGCTGCTTCGCCGTGAACCTGTCCCGCGCGAAGTGCCACGTGATCTGCGCCGCCGACGGCGCGAAGGCGATGTGCGTCCTGCCGTCGGCCGGCAGGCCCTCGAGCTTCTTCCGCAACAGCTCCGTGTCCTTCTCGCACAGCGTGGGGACCTCGTCCGCGGCGAGGTAGCGCACGCCGTCGGGCGGCGTGGGCTGCAGCGCCGAGGGGTCGTCCGGGATCAGCGAGACCTGGAGGGACGGGTAGACGGCCCAGCCGAGCTGGGCGTAGTAGACGGTGCCGATGTCGCTGTAGAGCACGCTCGCGCGGGAGTCGGCGTCCATGGCGTCCTTGAGGCGGTTCAGGAGGAGGGTGGCCATGCCGTGGCCGCGGTGGGAGGGGTTCGTGTAGACGGAGGCGATGGCGTAGGCCTTTTCCTCGCGGAGGGTTCCGTCGGCGGCGTCCCTTACAAAAAGGGTCTTGGCGGTGGCCTCGCAGGAGGATATGATGTGCTCCGGGTCGGCGGGGTCGAAGAGGACGTAGTAGGTGCAGTTCTCCGAGAGGGCCATCTTGGAGAGGGCGGTCTCGCGGGCGACGTAGGCTTCGAGGGACATCGGGGGCGCCCATGAGACGCCGTTGAGGCGCCATGCGGCATCGCGCTGGGCGGGAGTCGCGGGGGCGAACTTCACATGTTGCTTGGTCTTGGTGCTGACGAGGTCCGCCATTTTGAGGGGATGTGAGGACGGCGAGGCGACCTGAGTGAGATGAGACAAAAGTCGCGATGAGAGTTGGAGAAGGTCGTCGATTGAGGTTGCTGGCTCCCTTGATGGCTGCGTTTTTGTTAGGACATTTACTCTCAGATTTCGGAAACCGACTTACGTCTTGAGCTCTCTAAATCGTTAAAAGACACGACCCTAACCGATTGCGATTGAGGCGGACAAAATGAAGCTGTCGACTTGGCGGGGTGCTCATGAATTAAGAGCTCCCGTCTCGTCTAGGGGACCTCCCACAGCGGGGTTAGGAGAAGGCCGCTCCACTGTGACATAGCCCTCCAGAGCTGGGGTATCCTAGAACCACGCCCATCCAACGAGCGCGATTCCCACATCTTCCCACCTTCATCACCACCACCAATGTGACTGCGGGAAATCTGTCCCCCGGGGTGACAAACAGCTGCTGATAAAAGCCCCCCGGTTCATTGCATAGGTGTGGCTTGCTCGAGCTTCGCCATTGGATCGTCGCGCATCCGGAGTCCGGCATCGGGCTGGATGTGGAAATCGGAAATCGATAGCTTGATGCGATAGCTTGATGTCGATTGTGGTCTGGATCAGCGAGTCGTTCTTGAAGGCAGACTTGCTGACTTTCGCCTCGACACCCGTAGTCCTACTCGGATTTCCTTTCATGTAGAGGACTTTGTCTCTCTTGTAGGCTTTCATGGTGATTCCTTAGTCTTTGCGTGTTTTGGGTAGGTATGTCGTCCTCGCCCTCTCTGTGAGCTTCTCTCTTCTTCTTTCTTTCCCAATACAGACTGACTGTGTGAGCTGCTGCTAGCGGTGCATCACGATCAAACACTAATATAAAAGAAAAACCACTTCCTCGTCGAAAATGATCCATACGAAGAACTCAAATTAAACGACGGCCGTCCAACTCCACGGCGACTCAGCATAACAGATTACATCCCGAAAAAATGTCTACGGCGTCGAAGGTTCCCCTGACGCCAGCGCCTCAACCAAGTCCCGAAACCCAACCTCAACAGCCCTCGTGATACCGCCCGCAATTAACTCCTTATCCGCAGAGAACGTCTCATTCCAACGCCCGTTCTTTGAAAAGTACTCCTTCAAATCGTACAAAAAGAACTCCTTCACCTTCGCGGGCCCCTCCCGCCGGAAATCCTCCACGACAGCAGCTAACAGCGCCTCCATCCGCCCACAAAACATCTTCTCGGTCCCGGGCCGGATCGCCGACTGCAAACCATCCCAGATCGCCATCCTCTGGTCCTCGGAAAGGTGCCGCGTCTCGAAACCGTCGTCCTGCGCGAGAAGCAGCAGCTCGAGCTTCTTCTTTAGGCCCGTCTTGATATCTGGCGGGAGGTGTATGTCGACGATGTCGATGTGGCGCTGGATCTGCTCGCGCAGGATGTCCATCGACCACCGATGTTTCGTCCACTCCGACACGGCCGCTTTCCAGTGTCCCTTGTCGGCGTCGGTGAACTTCTTCGCCCTCCGTCCTCTATGATCCGGGAGTGCTTCCTGTTCCTCGGATGGTCCGTCTTGTTTTCTCGCTTTGTCTGCGACTACATCCGCCGCAAGACTTATGTGTTCCAGCACCTGGTTGAAAGCGATGCCGATGACAGCGTACCGGACCTCCCTCCAAACGGTCTCCCACAGCAGACTCTGAATCGTCTCGGAAACCCTCTTTCGTTCGTTGAGCTCCAGGACTAGGACATGGTGCATTGCGTCCGTTGTGGTCAGCGAAGGATGAACGTCGTACTTATCGTCCAGGTTAATAACATCATCTGCCTTCGCGAACTCATCACTGAACGGATGGATCAGAGTAACGTTAATAGGCGGCCCTTTCCAAGTCTTCGCCATGGCCACGAACTTCCCAACAACAGCAGCCTCGTCGTCTCCCACGGAGCCGATCGTGATGTAGACCATACACCCGCCGAGGACGGTGACCAGATATAGGAAGAACTTCCACAGCGCGCGGGGCGAGTCGTTGGCCTCCCTGAACTGCTCCAGGTCCAGCCCGGCCTCGACCATGACCTGCGTCTTCTGGAAAAGAATCTGGTCGATGAGCGAGGCGATGGCCGACCGCGCCGTCATGCCGCGGGTCCATATCAGGTAGGCGGACGGCACGTGGGACGCGAAGGTGCGTTGCTGCTTCTTCCAGACCAGCGCATGCTGGGGGTCCGGGGCGTCGCACTCGGCCTGGACCACCCTCGTCTCGTGCGAGTAGCCCGACGGCACGTACTTCTGCTCCATCTTGAACCACTCCACCCACGCCTTCGAGGTCGTCGTCTTGTAGATGGACTCCAGCTCCTGGTGGTATCCCACCTGGACTTCGAACTGGTGGAAGAGGTTCTTCCTGATTGCGTTGAAGATCTCAGCGGACGGGTCTTCGGCCATGGCTGTGGGCTGTCAGCTACCAGACACTTTTCCCGGGGAGGCAGGCGAAGACCGACATTTGAAGGCTTGGTACATTTGCTGTTTCTGCATCGGGAGATCTCGTTGGTACCGGGCGAGTGAGTGGCTCGTCATCGCGTGTCTGACGTGCAGACACACATTCGCGTCTTCCTTTATTTCCTCCTGTATCTTCTTCATCTTCGTCAGGAGATCTCCGTAACGGACTTCAAATGGCTGCAAAAAGTCCGACATTGCCCGTTCTGTCCTCGCGTAAGCTCGTATCTCGACACCATCACCCCTCACAAAACGTACTCAGAGCGCTCTTCTTGGAATCCCTGATGACTTTCTCCAGAAACTCGGCAATCGCTTCGTAGAGATCGGTCGTGAACTCGGTCATCCGGGGAATAGGGTATAGCTTGACGTATGCTCTGATTCTCTCCAAGCTCCGCCCAATGTCGATGATCACTTCGAACACCTTGGACAGTGCATCGGAACTCGTTTTCGACATCTAGTATCTGTTAGGAACGGTGCGCGTGGTTGTGTGGATTTGGCCTCGTACGAGCAGAATCAGCTTCAGACCGCCCCAAATCAGGGGCAAACCTGAGAAGTCGGCTTGAGAGAGTATGTCGAAGACCCCCTGGTAATGATCTAGCGATTTGACGAATCGTGACATCTTTTTCTTGTCCAATATACCCTCCTTGCTTTCTTGGATCTGCTTGGCAACCTGGTAGAGTTCAAGTTTGCCATTTTGAGTAGTGGTTATGGCAGTACCACCTTCGTTCGTAAGGAGTGTCTGTAATGACTTGACAGCTTTTGCGTAAGCCGTCTCGGCCTTCCTAATGCAATAGTCAGTATAAGTGCCACTCTTGTTAGATGCAACTCTGTGCGCTGTTCCGGGCGCGTTCGTTCACAGTTCTCACCAAGTGTGCGCCGCCACGGAGCAGCCAAGCCAGCGCCTGGGGAAAACCTACTCATAACTTGACCCGGTGGCCTGGATATCCTCGTCCTTGGCCGGGTCGGAGAATCGCCGAATAACCTCGTCGCGAGGATTCCAAGGGATCACCGGGGTGGAGACCTGGCTCGTCGGGCTCCCGTCGGCGCGGCCCCAGGAATCAACGCGATTCCAAGAGGGCGCCCGAAACACGACTGCGGTGTTCAGGGAAGGTCTTCTGTGCATGGCGCCGCGGCATGCCGGCGAGGCTTGGCATCAACTTTGGTGTCTTGGGATGGACAAAACGATTGTCCTCGAACGCGGTTCAAGACGTCTGTCTATAGCAACATTACAGCATCTTGACGCCCGCGTTTTCTGTAGCCGAAGTAAATCTCGAACGGAAAGATCGGAAGCGACAACACCTCGAACCCCGAGCCTCGAGGGGCAGGTAAGCTAATGAACAGCCGGCCGAGCTGGAGAGAGCGCAGCCCGGAAACCCAGGGGCATCCTGTACCCCCGCCCGACCTTTCCCATGGGTTTCTTCCCGCAGAGGAAAGGTAATCGTAGGGCAGGGTGTGTGAGACAGGGGAGAAGGGTGAGACTAGAGAGAATTGCTTCTTTGCTCCAGAATCGCCAATCAGCATCACGGCCGGGCCGCGTGATACCTATGAAAGCCTCAGTCCGTGGCACGAGAAGGAAACAAGCCTTTTCCCGCTTGGGTCGACCCTGGTCACTTTATGAGACCCTTTCACCAGGTAAGCGGTCTGGAACTCCAAAGCTGGATCGGGGAGAATGAGCCATGCGGAAGGCCTTGAATATCTGGGCTCGGCGTCAGTATCAAAGGCATATTAGACGAAGGCTACCAACCTGGCTCTCTGGGCGCCATCTCATCAGCTCGCAATATCGCCATCAGGAACATTTTCGTGCCGTTCCATCCACGAAAAGAGACAAATTGCTGGGAGGAATGCGGTGCAGACGCCACTATCACCAAGGAATCAGGAAGATGTTGTCCCGGAGCAGGGGTATTTCAGCTCTTCTGCCACACCGAATGCCTGTCATTGGAGGCGGGTGGCATTTATTGATGCATGAAGAGACTAGCGCCGTTTGCCGGCTCGAGCAGAACATCAAAATGTGAGTCGAGTCCCGTGATGTGATGTGGTCGCACAGCTATCTTATATATTACCTTTCCTATATTAGCGCTATTATTTAATAATAAGGATTAATTTAAGCCTAATTATACCTAATATATCTAAAACTACTAACCTTATATCTAATACGTCTAGATCCTAACTAATACCTCTATATACTATTTTATTATTACTAAGATATTAAGTAGGCTAAGCCCTATATTATTATATAGCTTACTATATTATAATATACTAAGGATTAATAGTAGTTTATATTTTATTCTAGCTACTATTTAAGCTATAAATAAATTTAGATTTTATTATAATATTATATAACCTATATATTATTACTAAATTATCTATTTCTTTAAAAAGATAGTATTTATTATGATATTCTTATTAATATAATATATAAAAAGAATATTATTAATATAATTTAAGTAAAAGGGGATATTATTTTTAAAGGTATTAAGAGATTAAAGAGGGTTAAAGCTTAAGATTATATTAAGGATAATAATAATAGGAGCTAATATAAAATAAAGAATATAGAATAATATTTTAAATAGATAAAAGGATAAAGTTTATAGTATAATCTTAATAATAAAAGGGATAATTTCTTATAGATTAATATTTCTTATTAAGGTTTTACTCCCTCTAACCTTAAGAGTAAAGCTATTTATATATTACTATATATACTATAAAGCTTATTAGGATAGAGTTTTATTCTTTTAGAATATTAAATATTAAATATATATTTATTAGGTATAGTGAGATATCTATAACTAGATTATAAGGGTAGCTATATTATATTGCGCAGCGTATTGCATTTGTCGCATAGCTGTCAGTAGGCATGCTCGGATAACAAACATGATGAAAGATGTCGCCGTGGGAAGAAGACCCCAACTTGTCGCCCCCATTTACCTCCCGTCGCAGTAGGGATGAACACCTTCGGGCCAGATTTAGATGTTTTTGGTCAACTGCGTCGATGACAGGACCGCAGCGGCCGGAGACCGAGCGAATGAGACGGAGCAAAGTGGGACCCCCGATGGCCGCTACCAACGGCGACTTCCCAAACAGACAGCCCAGAAAGCGGGGCAACTTTATTTGAACCAATCATGCCAGAGGACCCTGCGCCAACGCGGCGGAATGGAGCATCCTAATCACCGCGAACCATACAGGTTAGTGTTTAGGGAGAACAGGGGCATCTGGTTGTAAGAGAAGAATTGCCATCCAGCAAAATATTTACACGTCTCATGACGGGAGGACCGACCTTCCATGATCTAAAACCGATTTCTTTCTTTTTCGGCACCTCGCGCAGCGCCGCCACTGCCTCCTTCCCGCCATGCCGACCCTCAGATCGAAATCTCGAGCGGACCGGGACACGGCGAAGCTCCTCGCCCCCGGCGACTACGACGACGACGCCTCATCCTTGCACAGCAGCCGGAGCGACCAGGAGAGCGACAGCGATGACGACCAGCTCCAGCAGCGCGCCCGCAACAGCCGCGAGTTGCGCGCCGCCGACAGCATCGTCTTCATGGAGGAGGACGAAGTCGACAAGCTGGTCACGGACACCCGCAGGAAGAAGCAGGACTTGCAGCGCCGCGGCTCGAACCTCGCCGTTCCGAACCCGCTGAAGATGTTCGCCCGGCCCGGCTCCAGCAACGGGTCCTCGGAGGACCTCGGTCTCAGCGAGAAGGATAAGAGGCAGCAGCGCCGCACGAGGAGGACACAGAAGAAGCAGCGCCTCGTGGAGAAGGCCGCCCACGGCGAGGACGGCGAGTTGATGTACGAGATGGAGGAGGGCGGCATGAAGGAGGGGAGCTCGACTGGCGAGAGCAGCGAACGGGACGACAGCGACGAGCTCGACAGGCAACGACTCAAGATGAACGAGAAGGTAAAGACGGAGAAGAGGAGGAGTTGGCGCAGGTCGCTGTTCATCTACGGCATGATCGCGGTCGGCTTCGCGATACTGGTGCTCGTGGCATGGAAGTTGTCACTGGGGAGGAGGTCGGCGCATAAGGCCGAGTTCGTGAGCAACGGCACGGCCCTATTCGCGCCGACCACAATCATCATCAGCCTAGACGGCTTCCGCGCCGACTTCCTCCAGCGCGGGCTCACCCCCAGACTGAACGCCTTCGTTAGGGAGGGCGTATCCCCGAAACACATGCTCCCGGCCTTCCCCTCCGTCACCTTCCCGAACCACTACACCCTCGCGACGGGTCTTCACCCGGAAAGCCACGGCGTCGTCGGCAACACCTTCTGGGACCCCGAAATGGAGGCCGAGTTCTACTACACCGACCCGGCGCGCAGCCTCGATGCCAAGTGGTGGGACGGCGAGCCCTTCTGGGTAACCGCCGAGAACCAGGGCATCCGATCCGCCGTGCACATGTGGCCCGGCAGCGAGGCGCACATCCTCGGCGTCGAGCCCACCTTCCTCGACAAGTTCAACGGCGACGAGGCCCTCGAAGACAAGGTCGCCCGCATCCTCGAGTTCCTCGACAAGCCCGGCATGGAGGACGAGACGGCCGCCGTGGAGGACATGCGGCCCCAGCTCATCGCCGCCTACGTGCCCAACGTCGACGCCGACGGCCACCGGTACGGCCCCAACAGCACCGAGATCCGCACCACGATCCAGGCCGCCGACGCCATGATGGACCAGCTCTTCGCGGGCCTGGAGGCGCGCAACCTCACCGGCATCGTCAACGTCATCGTCGTCTCCGACCACGGCATGGCCACCACCGACACCACGCGCGTGCTGCAGCTCGAGGACCTCGTCGACACCTCCAAGATCGCCCACACCGACGGCTGGCCCCTCTACGGCCTGCGCCCCAAGAACCCGAACGACCTCCAGGGCCTCTACGACGGGCTGGCCGAGAAGGCCAAGACGAACCCCAACTTCGACGTCTACCTCCGCGACGTCAACATGCCGGCGCGCTACCACTTTTCCAACAACAAGCGCATCGCGCCGCTGTGGATCGTCCCCAAGACGGGCTGGGCCATCGTCACCAAGGACGAGATGGACGTCGCCAAGGCCCTGCAGGACGGCACGGTGTACAACCCCCGCGGGCTGCACGGCTACGACCACGAGAACCCGCTGATGCGCGCCATCTTCATCGCCCGCGGCCCCGCGTTCCCCCACCCGCCCAACAGTCAGATCGACGTCTTCCGTGAGTCTCCCCCCCTCCCTCCCTTCCCCCATTCACACTCGTCTACCAGACCTGATCTAACACGCGACAGAAAACATCAACGTCTACAATATCCTGTGCGACTCCGTCGGCCTCATCCCGAAACCGAACAACGGGACCCTGCGCCTGCCGCTCTCGCCCGTCGGCACTCACAAGTCCGAGGACACGCCCGAGGAACCTCAGGACCCCGTCCCCCCGTACACCACCTCTCAGGTTGCTACTGCAACCAGCGCCTCGCAAGCGGCTCACTCCTCGGCGCCCGCGTCCGAGTCCGTCAAGACGATCCAGATTGACCCCCCTCAACCGGCGTCCACCAATGCCGCGTCTGACAGTGCAGAAGAGAGCGACGGCGCAGACCAGGACGCCATTGAGAAGGGCAAAGAAACGATGGTTGGCATTTGGGACTGGATCACTGACAAGTTTGACAAGATTTGGGGCAAGATTACGGGAGATAAGGGGAATGAGAACTCCCAATCTTCAGAAAAGTCAGAATGATGTTTGCTTTGTCGTACCTGAGTATAGATGGGTGGGAAATTCACGATATGGCGTTGGGAACCGGCGGCAATTTTTGGTTTTTGGTTTTACGTTGATACTCCCATTGCAATATCTTAAACTGTTTTCAACTTCTACACACTGTACTCCATGTTCCTGCTCCCTCCCTGTCTTGGCCCCCTCCCCGTGTCCTCCTTTCCCCTGTTCATGCCTTGGTGATTATCGATGTATTGTCTCTCAAAATATGCGAGGGTTGAGTAATACAGTCCCAGAAGCTGAAGGGGCTGCACTCTTTTCTTCCTCAGAAGGCTCTTCTCGGTGGAGTCCGTACTCAACATAGTCGTCGTGAATAGTATAAGGTTCCCCTTCAAGAAGGATACCGTCAACCGGGTCGGATTCGTAGCGTAGAACCATGTAATACTCCGGACGCGGAATGGCGTAACTCAGGAAAAGGGCAACAGCTTTTTCGCCAATATCGAATTCACTGGTGAGTCCACACCTGTCATTCTGCCACTCTTCACAGCTGGCGTCCCATTTCTTGGTGAAACGGACTTGGGTAAACACATCTTCGCAAAAAGCCATTTCCGGCAGTGACTCTTCGTTTTCCATGTAACTCAAGTTGCCCAGAACTTGCATGAGAGGCCATACTATCACCATACTGCCGTTCTTGGAGTCATAGTAGTCCGCGTCCTTGTAGACGTTGGCTCTTTGGGGTAGTCCAGATACGATCCGCCTTACGGCGATGGGGATTTCGCTCGGAGTATGCGAGGCTGGAGTACTAGGTTTTGGGGAACCAGACGCCTGAGTATCGTCAACCGCCACCGGAGTTTCGGACGGCAGAGTACCCGAAGACGGAGAAGAAGCGACAGCCGTAGTGGTGGGCGCCGTAGTATCGCGATGGGGTGTAGTAGCACCGGACTCCGACAGTGGTGATGACGAAGCCGAAGACGGAGAAGAAGCGACAGCCGTAGTATTGGGCGCCGTAGTATCGCAATGGGGTATAGTAGCACCGGACTCCAACAGTGGTGATGACGGAGGATCAGGCTGAATAGGTTGGAACGGCTCTGCACCAGGCGACAACATCGGCGTTTCTAACAACGTAGAATCAACGGAATCTTCGAATAACTCGTCGGAGGAACTAGCCATTTTGAATGGAGTGTTGGAAGTGTTGCTGGGTTCAACGTGCGACTGTCGTCCAACGGGTAGAGAGGGCTGTGCGATGAAGGCTAAGCGTCGCCTTGATACGATTGCGTTGTGATAGACCGATTGGTTATGGTGATTGGAGAAAATGGATGTACATAATGACGGAGGAATGTTGAAGTCAAGAAATCATGAGACGTCGGTGGTGGAAATCGGGGCCTTGATTAGTTCAGACTACCTACTTATCCAAGGGAGCCAACCTGACCGGCACCTTCTCAACGAACGCCAAGTGAACGAGGGCATGAGCTGTGGAGCGAGCGGTCTTGCGATGGGTTTTGGTAAGAGCGCTTCAAGAAGTGACGGTGAACTTTTAAGGGTAAGTAGGTAGGTAGCTTGGTAGGTACAAAAACAACGTCGAGACGCAGGAGCGGCCCTGCCAGTTTCTGGCTTCTTCAAGAGCCGCATTGACTACGCCATATCCGCTCCTGACCACCTATGTACGCCCTTGGCTAAAGCCGTGGTCCTTGCTACCGTATCTCGCCTGGAAACCATCGCCTTCGGTACTGTCCACGCCCCCAACAGAGTCCTTCTCTACATCCCGCAAGGGAACTAGGTTTCTCTCCTTCACGAAATCAGGCATCGCCGCATCTTCCAAGAGTATGCGGGCAGTGTACTCCTCTCCAGAAGATATCTCAGGATGGTTCCCGAGGACCCTCGCGTATCCGAGAGACTTGAAGGTGTCGAAGTGGAGGTCGAGATAATCTTCGGGGGTGAATGTGCACACCCGTCCTAGGGACCTGCAGAAGTCGCAGACCCAGCGAGTCTTGTTGGTGTTTGGGATATTGATCTTGGTCGGGGCGCAATCTATGCAGACAACAGGACAGTGCATAGCTGACGGATTGGCCATTGACTGATTCAGGGTATTAGCCTAGGCAGCTGCCTAAGAAAGGGCTGGGTTCACTTACAATATGGCAAGCGTCGCATGTGGTCCTGCCACTGGGGAGGCTGGGAGACCAGCAGTCGACGGGCATTTCCCATTGTCCCCTTCTGTACAATTTGTCCAATTCTTCCATGTTGACTTCCACATTGATGCGCTTGGGAGGTTCCTGTGTTTTCCCCCGGATAGGTTGGTTGATCACCATTGACTGGTCCAGGTAGGACAGCCCGATCTCTTCGATGGTCACGACGTAGGGCTGGAGAGCCCAGTGACGGAACCAACTTCGGTCCGCCCACTCGAAGTTGGTCAGGGTCGCGATCCAGGCCATGGCGCGAGACCACGCGCCGCTCAAGAACGAGTTGTGCGGAGACCCGCGCACCGGGAACGGAAAAGTGTGATCGTGGGCGTGCTGGTACTGCCCGACGATCTTGCCGTCCTTCATGTGGTCGATCCGGAGCGCGAGACGACGGGCCTGGGTCCAGTTCTCCCAGGGCCCGATGAGCGGGACGCTGACGTACGGGGTCGGGTGCGAGTCCCGGGGGTTTCTCGTAATTTCGAAGACGGGGACGACGTAGTCGACGTCGTGGAAGTCGCCTAGAGGAAGAGCGCACTTGAACCTGTCGACCCATCCCGTGGGGAACTGTCGCGCGCCGAGGTAGCAGCACTTTCCTCCGGTATGTTTGTTGTGGGTGACCTTTCGCGGCTGCCCGGTGAAGGTGAGCATGTCGACGCTGCCGTTTTTGCTACCCGCGGATGTGGTTTTCACCCAGATGCCTTGGTTGAAAAAATTGTACTTGATGAGGATATTGTGCGTGAGGTCGCCCAAGGTGTCGGCCCAGTCCGGGGGGATTTCGGGGTACATCTTGTCCGAGCAATCGTGATTAAATCGGATCCGTTGCTTGGGGAGGTTTTTTTTTTTGGTTCGGTGTATGAGTGTTTGCAGTAGTTAAGGGTGCCAAGTGCGAGAGCGACTGGGAACTCAAGAAGTTTTTCCTCCCGCTTAGGTGGTGATGGTGGACTCGAGGGACGAGCTTTGATTTCCCATGCTGGAAGGCGCTGGCGTAGGAGGGACAGAAACTTTTTGTTGTCAAAGAAAAAAAATCTCCAGATGAGCAAACGAAGATCAAGTCTCATCTACTTCTAGATGAGTTAAAAAGTCAAAGACAATGGCATTGCTGCTCTTTGCTGTTTTCTTGCTGGAGTAAGAGCCCAAGATTTAGGAAGGAAGACCTTTTGCCAAAACGACGGGTGAATTTAAGTCTCCTTTGATACACAACATCGTAGATGCACGAATATGATGCTTGATTCAAATCATCAAAGACAAAAGTAACACTGCTCTCTTTCATCCAAGTCGGTCCATTCATTTACCCTTCACTTCCATTATGTAAAGGTAATGACCTACCAGTATGCAACCGCGCATTACTCTAGCTAGGTACCTGCAAGATTCTGCCTAAGTCAACTTGAAAATAAGACCTGCAGTTCTTTGATTTCAAAGACAGCTCAACACTGGACATCGACCTCCATCCAACAGAACCTGAGGCACCGCCGGAAATTGTTTGCAGGAGGTGTCTTCCTCTGACATTTTCAAAGCCACGTTTGGGATCATCTTGTCCCCCAAGAAGATCACATAGTGTATGACTGACTGTCTCGGCGTGGCAAACCTTCAAGAAGCGTGAAGTTGTCACAATCGTATGGAAAACCAGGAGAGGGAAAGGCAAAGATCCAGGGGTATGCAGCCATGCGGCAGTCGACTCGTGACATCGGGGGGAACAACAATCGCGCTACATCAGCCGTAGTGGTTGATGTTAGGGTGCAGCTGTCGTCTTCTTGGGGAGCTCACGAGCCTCCGTGCCTCTATCGGCTCCGGCCCCGATTACGGCCCCGCAGTCGGGATCGGAGTGGGGCAGCTCGGAGTGTGCGAATCGCAGTTGTCCGGTAATACCGCAGTTGACATTACGCCTGGTGAGTTTGACAGCAAAGCAAACATCAGAAATATCGATCCGAGGAGCCAGAATTTATATTTTGGTTATCGTTGTTATTGTCGTTGTCGTCGTCGCTAGGGAGCGTAGTTGTGAATGAATGTGGAAATACGGATGCTACAGTGTTACAATCATATATTATTGCCATGCAGAAGATTATCAAAGCGACTCGTTGATTCATTAAGCATAATTCCTATTTAAACCTAATTCTGCCCGGCTTTTCTCCCGACCGATCACATCAATTTCCGTCCGTCAAAAGGCCGCTGAGACCGAAACCGAGACCGTGCTGATATCTATCCGTTGGTGGTGAAAGAAAAGAGATTGTGTCGAGTCGACGCTGAAGGCAGGCTTGCTGATGCTTCATCCTTCCCATGACATCAAAGAATGAGCCAGCTGGCCGCTAGTTCCATGCCCTTAGAGCAACCGTGATTCGAGTATACGGAGCTCTGAATTAAAAAGCCAATTCTCCTAATGAATGATGGCATCGGAGCTCCAAGAGATCTGCAATAATGTGCTGACAGCCTGGGCGTTTTCGAAGTCGTCGGACGAAGGATTCTAAGCCGAGAATCGATGGATTGTGACTGAAATCAGACGTCAAAGCCGAGCCGACGCCGACCAAAAGGCATGCGTAATCTTCGGGCGGTAAAGGTGTCGTCGTAAGCAAGGAGATGGATCATTAAGATGCTGACATCCTCCGAAACGTTGAGAAAGACCCACTCCTTCAGAGGAGATTCTTTGTTGATGATGAGATTTAGGGGTATCATGTCGGTAGTTCTCATCTAAGCCTTCTTCAGGATGCGCTTGAGAAGTCCTTTGCGAGATGGCGATGATCCTAGACGCAGAAATGTTAGCATTTGTTTCCAGACGCGGTAGAATATCAGTCCGAATAAGACAACAAGATGCAGTGCAATTCTTTCAGTGTTATTTCAGATTAGGACAATCATGACTTACCATCGGCGGCACTGTTGGCATCAACCTTCTCCTTACATTGGACAAGCTCGCCGTTCTTGTCGACTAGCGTCACTTCTGAAGCCATCGCTGCAGCATTCGAACTTGATGCTGGCGCTGGCTGGGCAGGCCTCCGGGGCATCGCCGAAGCGTGCATGCCCGGAATGACCATGGCTGATTCGTAGTAGTTGCCGGACATTGTGCTGGTTGCGGCGTCACGAAGAATGGCCTTGAGATATGAGGTTTCGATGGAGCTCATGTGGGGAGTCAAAGAGTTTAAATCGAGGTAAAAATGAAGTCTTGAATGGTGCTGAATCGTAGGTGTATTAGCTTAAGTCCGTTTACTTCACCGATGATTTTGAAATTGGATTTCGAAAGGGGACTTGGCGAGGTCTTTATACACTCCCAGATCCGAGTCAGAAATTTCAAACCCCGCCAAACGAGGCTCGGATTGAAGTATACCTTGACTCACAAACATGCAAGCCATTCCCGAGTTACAAATGTGAAATGGTATCATGTTCTCAAAGGGCGTATGAATCGGCTCAAACTTGCACGATGGAGCTGGCTTACACGCTACTGCACGGCCCCAGTCACAGTCAGACCGGGGTGTAGTCGTGCCGGGGTCGATTCCTACTGCCAAGTAAGTGCTTAAAAATGCTTAACCACAACCACAAACTCCCAACGGCCCATCCTGCCGGATGCTTAAGTAAAAGAAACCTGGCCAGTCAGCCCAGTAAGCCCTTGTAATGTGCTATACGAACGAGTCGAATGGGGTTAGTCGGTTTGGTTGATGTGAGAATCACTCATAGTGACGGGATTGCCAGGTGTGGAGGTGAGGTGGATGCCGAAGCCGAGCCGCGTAAGCGAAAACTCCTAGCCGAAGCCGAAACCGCACTTCATGTCTTTTCAACCTGCCCAGGTATGGTAAGCCGAAGGAAGACATGAACCGGTACTTTTGCTTCCCGAACAACACCGTCGGGCAGTCGGAAGGAAAAGAGAAACGCCGGAGTTCCAAATCATGTCAATCAGTTGACTATCCTGACTTTATCGGAGGGAGACATGGAGTCGACAGAACCGCGACTGTTCCGCAAAAACGGGCGGGCGCAGGCCTGTGAGCCTTGCCGCAAGCGCAAAGTCGCTTGTGACCACACCCAGCCGGTATGCAACAGATGCAGAAAGTCGAAGAATCCAGAAGCGTGCGAGTACATCGTCGGCACCACCCCTGCGACCCGAGATGCTCCCAGACCGAATCGACTGAGGGAACACCGGAGAGCTACCAGAGACTCGAGAGCTCCATCCCAGCCGCTGACGCTGTCTTTTCCTCCGTCTCTGCCAGGCCATCCCTCGGGCTCAACGGCGCGAGCTTCGATAACGGCTTCAACGGCGACTTCGACAACTCCGTCCAGCGCCTCCACGGGCCGGCAGCAGCCTACCGCAAGCCACCCCACAAGCCCGGAGGAGTCCGTGAGCGCGACTCCGAGCGTGCTCGGCATCGGCTACCTTGGCTTCACCTCCTTCTGCGGCATCTACGAAGAGACTCGGCACAGCCTCAACCGGCTTCAGCCCTCCGGCATAGCGCCCATTGGCGAGATCGCAACGACCAACTATTGCGGCTTGGAATGCTCTCCGCCCCTGACGCCGCAGGCCCTGGAGACATGTCTCACCATCCTCCGTCACTTACCGGACCGCGAGACCGGCTTGAAGCTCTTCGACAGCCATCTGAACCCAAGCGACGGATGGTGCCGGCCTGCCGCGCGGCTGATCATGAACTCGATCTACGACACCTTTCCCCAGCTCTTTAACAGCTCTACTCCCCCCAGCGACAGCGAGCTGGAGTCTCTCGCCCGCACCATCTGCGCCAATACGGCCAAACCTTTCGTGGACGAAGAGTCGGACCCGGAGAAATGGGTCGGCCAGCTTCTTGGTCCGAACCTGCGGTGGGAATCCCTCGGGGTTTTGTTCGTGTACTGGGAGCTCGCGGCGAGGTACCTTGGCCCGTATCGACCAGATGTGGGCATGCAGTTCGCAAATGTGGATGAGGGGACCAAGATCGTCATGAAGTACCGGTACTGCATCTGCGCCTGTATGGAATTGACAAAGGCGGCCGGCAGCAGAGGAAATTCCTTGCTCTTGTTCATGTGCACCAAACGAACAATCATTGAGTCGATGTTCTCTGGTGATGCAAGTAAGCAACTCTGACTTCAAGCCGCCTAGAATAATACTGACAACCCCGACCTAGGCTTCGCATGTTGGCAGCTGCATTCCGAAACCGTGGCACTATCGACGTTCCTCGGCTTCCATGATGAAGTCGACCCGGAGCCGTATGTGCCGAACATCGGTTCTGAGATCAAGCGAAAAGTCTTTTCCTACGTTTTCTACATGGACAAGGTCCTCGCTTCCTTCTCAGGCAGGCCTCCAATGATCAGCCGCAGATACGCTCGTACACCGCTGCCACTGGATCTCAAAGAGGAGTACCTCCTATCCGACAAGGCAACGTTCGCCCGGCACGTCGCAACCCTTGACGAGAATGGATGGAATACGGAAGGTGGGCTGTATTCTTCCACGATGGTCCGAGCCCGCGTTCTGCTAGCCCGCATCCGCGATGAGCTATTTGAGATAGCTCTGGGTCACGGATCTATCACGCCTCTCGAAACACTGTTGTAAGTGGACCGTCCAGACTGTCGCTAATGAAGCGTTATTTTGACATGCTACTGCAGAGAGATCAAGGAAAAGGAGCTCAGGACAGTCGCCGGGTTCCCCAAGATTATCGTTTTCAACGAAGACGACATACAAGACAGGAATATAGAGGTATCCATTCTCTATGCGCGCCTCATCGCCCACCTAGAACACCTCCAAAACATGTTCTTCATCGAGCGCCTTCTCGCAAAAAGGGGCCACGACGATGGCGCGTTACTGGCTGTGAGCTTCGAGATGGTATCCAAGACCCTCATGTTCTGGACGAACATGGACCGTTTGTCCTGCATGAACGGCGACTTCGAGTGGCTGGTATGTGCAACCGGGTTCCTTCTCGGGTTCCGTGATCCATCCGAACTGCTCAGACGGAAACACTGACATGATCAGGTAATGGCCTACGCTGCCCCTGGCGGTGGCATTCTCTGCCTCGAACTGCTGAAGCCCACCCTTTACGGTGGGATCCACCCGCAGAACCCGAAAGTGACTCGCTCCAGCATCATCCAGAAGCTCAGCCTGCTCGTCGGCTTCCTCGACTGGGTCAGCCCGACGGCGCCCAACGGCGATCTCTGCGCAGACTGCAAAGTCGTCATCCAGCACGTACTCGACCAGGCGCTGAACAACCCGGCCGCCGCCGCCGCAGGAGCTTCGGCTTCCGCAGACGGTGCTGTTGGTCTCCCCGCCGGTTTGGATGCCATGGACTGGGACTTTTCTACCCAGCTGGATTTCAATTTCGACCTGCTTGATACCTTTGAATGGCTACGGCCGGACGTAGGCTCGGCTCAGCAAGCTTGATACAGACGGCCACCGACGGCACGGTCTCCCGAGACATGCTTGCTCCAAGGGTTCCACATCATGTCAAATCGTGGCTACCTGCGCCCTTCACAAAAGTCTAGCAAACGCCGCGGCGACATCCTGGTGAAACCAGTATATAATTCGTTGTTTATTGACTGATGAGTCACGCCGCATGTGTCATGAGGTCCCCATGGCTCGCGACTACTCGATCCCTGCCCGCCCCACAGGACTCATCCTTCGATTCAAGTGCAGTCTAGAACCAACAACGGCCATCATCGCCATCACAAGCCTCAGCCAAACTCAACAATTGGTCACCCCAAGATCGGATAGGTACGGAGGGTTGACCAGAACATCGACTCTCCTGGTTCTGCGTACCTGCGGGCCAAGGACACCAAAGTACCTTCTCGACTGCAAGCTGTAAAGACGCCACGCCAGTAAGCGAAAACCATTCACATCAAGTCTAGGCAGTGCGTAGCCCCATGGGGCGTGGTCCCCTGAGACGGATATACGAAGTGCGAGTACCACATACCTCCAGCTAATGTTGGCCTGGACAACATCCTGTATGCCTTTGACGTAGCGTTCAACTTCGCTATCGACATTCCCACCCCAATGCGGCAAGCGGCTCATGACATCGTCCCATTCGCGGTACCGCTCTTCAAGAAGGGATCCAACCGTGTCGAAAGCCTCCTGCGCAGACTGTCCCGTCATTCGACAGGCAGCCACCATGTTGAAGGGGCATCCCTCCGACTGGAATACCATGTCAGCACTCTAGTACATGCAAGCCCGCTTGTCATCTTCGGCTTCGGTGCAAATACGCACCTCTTCCTTGCGATAAGACAGCATATCGTTCGAACTATGTGTCGAAGTTGCGGGTCAGCTACGGTGTAACCTTGCGCCTCTACTGGTATGATGCCGGCGAGGACTCACAGGATGACGAAGTCAGCTCCGAGGCGCTCCAGGGCCTGGATCTCGGGGTCCTCGAAAACCTCGTCAGGTACCTGCAGAGAATGTGCGTACTCGACCAGGTGGTAAAGCGGTGCGACCCCAACAGACAGCCGCCGTGTTTCCAGCATGTCTTGCAGCGACGGGAGGCGGTGATTCGTGAACGACTCTACATGACTGGCGACACCCGCGGCGTATAGCTCCATGGATCTCGCGAAGCGTCTTTGAACTCCTGCAGAGCCTCCTCGTCAGTACATCAAGGAGCGCAACATGAATTTGGTTTTTGGGGACGGCGTACCGACTGGAGCACCCTGGATCCAAAGATCACGATCTCAGCGATTGACTCATTCATCTGTGAAACTCAGCATGGGGCTCACTTCTGCCAATCTTCTGAAGATGTCGTCGTGGACCTGGACTACGGGCAGCTTGGTGCCGATGTAGCAGCGGTTGCCCAGCATATTTGCCATGAGGCTGTCGAGCACCTGTTGCGTTGTTTCTAGATCTGATCTGAGATGCCCAGAATCGAACACTAGACGCAAGTCAGCTATTATTCTGTGGCATATAATTGTATATTGATGAGTGCGACCTACTATCGTCAAATGGAAAGACCTGGGTGGAGAAGTTAGTGTTTGACAGGTTGGCGCATCATGAATGTCATCAAATGCGACGGAAGTCCAAAAGCCATCGTCCATCAGGACTCACCCAGTTTCCCCAGTCGCACATGGTTCGCAGCCGCTCTTCTGGAGCATCCGGTGCAGCAATGGAGCAGAAGTACGAGAAGTCGCAGGCGTTGACTTTCTTCTGCATTCTCGGGGAGAAGGAGCACTTTCTGCTCCAAGACCATAAGTCATCACCACCCCTAGGAAGACATAGAGAGATGCTTGACATACCCTGCGAGCCATATCTCCGACGCCAGCTTGGCTGTCCCGTAACTTCGATTCACCCTGGGTTCCTGGACAAGGAAGCACTTGAACATGTCAGGGAGCGCGACGACGGTCCGGGCAGACATCTTGACAGCGAGCGCCCCAGGTTTCTTTGACACGAATGGAAATTCCTGGTGGTCTTCGTCGATGCCATCTGAGATATTTATCCGTATTTCTGAATCCCTTGTGGGGTGGGTGATATGGACAAGCTTTCGCGAAGGACCCGTCCATGACAGACGGCGAGCGTCTTTAACGACATAACGTTGTACGAGATACGGCGCAATTGGCATCATGCGCCAAGGTTGCGATGCATATTCAGGTGTCAACCCGTAAGCGTACTATCCCGAGTGCGGTCATGTCGCTTACATGTAATACTTATTTAGTAAATTGTCAGACGATAGAGATGGGGGCTGAGAATTCGGGTTGATTTGATCTCTCTGCTCCCAGTTTCATCATGAACGTCCTGAAGTCTTGCAGGCTTTAGCTTTAAATCATCGTGAGTATTATCGTAGGGTGTCAGGACTCCCGGCGCTTTAGCAGTCGGCGCCTTGGCCGGGTTCACAACAGTGGAGCCCAATGCCGCTCGCCGGACGGCGCCGGCGGCCCCACTATATCGGCGGCCCGTCCGATAGATCACGATCTTCCCTCCCTTGTGGGATCAACAGAGTCCTGCTTGCACACCACACTCCGAGCCCAAAAGAATTGGTCACCGCCTTCGGAATGCGAGCTGTCATATTTTAGCGTATCATCGCACACAGCTTCATCTGCGTCGCATAATATTGACCTTGGCGCCGGTTGATTGGGCTGACTGGCGAGATCTGCTGCACTAAAACATGACAAACAGTCTTGTATTTAAATCACTCAATGTATGCCGATTACTAAATCTCTCTTTGCACGCTCGTCACAACGTGGATAACGAAATCTGTCAACATGGGAATCCTCGGTCTCGGCAAGCCGAACGACGACGTCCGTACCGTGGGGAACTACTCCTTCCGCTGGACCAAGGACCACATCCCCAAGGAGAAAACGGAGCACCTGCGACACACCTACGACAAGATCGGTGCGACAGCCGTCGACAGGATAAAGGAGATTCATCGCCAAAACCTCGCCGAGAAACCGGACAGCGCGAAACACCTCTCCAAGCTCGACCTCTTCGCCGTCCTCGAGGAGCACCACGAACACGACGAGGCGCTGGGCCGGTTGTGGGACGACGTCCACACGGTTCCAGAATGGGTCGACTGGGAGCAGCTCGCGCGCGGCCAGAAGTTCTTCTACCGCTACGCCGCGGCCAACCTGATGGGCTTCGCCCTGCAGGGCTTCGTCGGCGAGAACTCGGCGTCCGCGGGCGTCGTCGAGGTCCTGGTGCGCACCGGCGGCTTCAGCACCCGCGTGCTCTTCCGCAGGCTCCTCGAGACGTTCCAGATGCTCCTCGAGGTCACGCATAGTCTCGAGTACATACGGCCTGGAGGACGCGGGCACAAGACGGCCGTTCGCGTGCGACTTTTGCACTCGATGGTGCGGCAACGCATCCTCAGGATCGTACGGGACACGGCCAAAGGGTCGGCCTACTACAATATTGAGAAGTACGGCGTCCCTATCAACACGATGGACTCGCTACATGCTCTGACGACGTTTGGCTGCAACCATGCCTTCATCCAGCTGCCGCTCATGGGCATCTCCGTGCCTCAGCAGGAGATCGAGGACTACGTCGCGCTGTGGCGGTACATTGGCCACCTGCTGGGCACGCCGACGGAGCACTTCGCCTCGGCGGCCAAAGCGAAGATACTCATGGACAGCATGAGCTACAACGAACGTCTTGTGACGGACATGTCGCTCGTGGCGGGCCACAATTTCGTCGAGACTGTGCGAGACCTGCCACCCATCAACCTCTCGGCCGGGTTCATCGAGGCGGGTAGTCGGGTTCTCAACGGTGACGCTCTGTGTGACCAGCTCGGCATGGGACGGCCGGGCGTGTATCACTATGCCTGCTTCCGGGGCTTTTGTTGGTTGATGAGGACACTTGTGGTGGTCCAGCGGTGGTTCCCGCGGCTCGAGGAGAGGCTTGTTGATTATAACAGGGAAATGCTTCACCAAGCTATCATTCAGAGCCAGGGCGGCCTTGGAGGCGGGAGCAAGATGGAGTTCAAGCATGTGCCTGACGGAACTTTGACGAAAAGGGAGGACAGGCTTGGCAAGAGTGTGCAATTGCGGTTCTATAACCGGCCGCTTGACCTGTTCTGCTTTGTTTACTTCATTCTCGGGTCTCTTCTGATGGCTGGAGGAATCATTTTGCCTCTGACAGTGGCGATGAACTTTGTCCCGTTCGCACATTAGGTTTAGGACACGCTCATCAACACCATCATCCATCGTGCGTCTCGGAGCCGTCATATATGTGCTGACCACATCCGAGCGGGTGACTTTGTTACCTTTAGGTGCTACACACATCCACATTTTCACGATTTCATATCAACAACACGTTTCATTCTTTCTTCCGCAGGAATAATCAACTGAAGCATGCCAACCTGAAACATGGTGTCGAAAGGTTGCTCGCGACCAACTTAACCTATCCCCTATTGAGACAGTATTTTTATGGCCTCCCGCAAGTTCAACTTCTACTATAAAAGAGCCCAGCTGATAATTCAGTTGACCTGAATGAAACCCTAGAACCCAACAACAACACTATGTTCCGCGTCCCAGGTACAGATGCCGATCCGGCACCGCCATATAATGTCGAGAACCACATTGCTTGGAAATCTTGTTTATGTCCAGCAAGAAGAAGCTTAGCTGGCTGATTCGACAAGCTTCTTCAATAGTCATAGTGGTCAAACTTAACTTCACAATCGAGAGATCTCAACGAACCGACATTATCAACATGTTAAAAGCCAACTCAAAGACCGCTCCATCCTCTATCCCGATCGTTTGTATCAGCCTCGGAGTATTCTGCCGAACGTTACAAACAAGACATCACGACCGACTTTTACTCTGCCGTCTTCCTGGCTAAGCATCCAGCAGAAGGACTGATGCCGCCCTGGACCCTAGACTGGCTGGGTATCGGAGTCACGGGCTCTTGAAGACCCCCGAAGTTGCAGACGGTCCTTAAAAGCCAAGTATTCAAGTGAACAGTTTACAACACGAAGCGCCGTTAACCTTCCAGCGGGTACAGCGATGCTGGATCTAGGATCTGCGGCCACGTATAGCGAGATACGAGCATCACTTGCTATCGTGACGAATGCGAGGCTTCATCTGTCGATTTGCGGGGAACCGAATGGCAGACGGAAGACGCAGCGATGTGGCTGAGTTCCCGCCGTCAGGCTTCCCGGGCGGAAATTGAATGAACAACGCCAAGATATGCCACTCGTCCACCCGTACTGTCAAGATTCCTGGACTCATAATCGAAGAACCATTGGTTTCTACCAGAAATTATTTAAGACGTTTGTGAAGCCGTCCTCTTAGATCTAACTCACATGTTTACCACAAACATTTATCATCACTACCATGAAGACGAATCTGGCAGTCCTTGCCCTCGGGCTTCAGCTTCGCACGGCTCTGGGTCAATTTGTACGTTTGCGAATTTTCCAGGCTTAACTTCAACGAGATCACAGTCTGACGTCTGCAGGTTTCTCCTTCTCCCCTAGAAGATACAGGTGTCGTTCTAGAAAGCCAGAATGTCTCTGCCGCCAGGTTCATCGGGTCTCCGGCTCAAATCCAAGCCCTTCCGAAAAAGACTCGCTACGGTCCAAACGTCGTCGGCTTCCACCAGGACGGCGGCAACACCAGAACAAACGACTGGGATGGTCCTCTAGGAGTGTCCCCCGTTGTTGCGAGTCGCTCCATTGCCATCTCGGCCCAATACTGGCACAGCGACAACCGACTCACGGCACGCTCCGTCTGCACCGATGCTGAGGAGCCCTACTTCTGCATCGCTGCCTTTGATCCTGATACCATGGACGTGTTAGGGACGTGGGCTCCCGAGAACATGACGCTGCTTTCTCCGTACATCTCGGTGGCCGGGAACACCATCATTATGCCGACCATGGAGAGGCACATTTTCGAAGTTGAACGCATCGATGGCGTCAATGACACCACCTTCGCCCAGACACGGGACATCGATCTCACCTCCGTACTCCCCCAAGGTCACAGCGCTGTCAGCAGCTATCTCGACGAGGAGGAGAACGTGTGGTTCACATCTGTTGCCCTCATGATAACCGGTACATCCGAAGACTTTTCAATCCTTGGATATGTTACACCAGGCGGTGTCGTGCACACGATTGCCATTGCTGGCCAGAGAATCGAGAATTCGATCGCCATAAGCGGGAGAACTGTCTACCTCAACACCGGCCCCCAGGCATCAGACACCAACAGGAGCACCATCGGCCACATGTTCGCCTTCCGCGCAGATGCGAACGATGGGCAGATCAGGGCTTTGTGGAACGCAACCTACGACGCCGGCAGCTCAGCCAAGCCTGGCGGCTTCTCTCAGGGCTCCGGATCAACTCCTTCACTAGTTGGCGATAAATATGTTGCCATTACCGACAACGCCGACGCTCAAGTCAACCTGCTCATCTACCGCCAAGTTCCCAGCGACGCCGAAACCCTTCCAGAGGGAGGCTTGCCTCTGGTTTGCGAGGTCCCCCTATTCCAGCCGAACGGCAGCGCCAACGAGAACGCGATGGTTGGTTACTTCGATGGGAAAACTTACAGCGTCATCATGAATAACAACTACGGGGCTCCGGAGATGCAGGACCTAGGAGCGTCTAACGACAAGAACGGCGAGTTCAATGACTTTGCGCCGCTGGCTCCTGGAATCACACGCGTGGACATCACCCTTGACGAAATCTGCGAGGCGCGCTGGACTTTGGATGTCCGATCGACAAGCGTTCTTAGCCTCTCGACTGCGAACGGCCTCGTGTATTCCTACACCCAGGATGAGGAGCTTGCGAGCCAGGGGCTCTACGCTTGGTATTTCACGGCTATCGACTTTCGGACGGGCGAGATTGTTTGGCGTATCTACGCTGGAGCTGGTGGTTCTTTCAACAATAATGTTGCTCCTACGCAGTTGTCCCCCAATGGGGGTCTCTATCAGGTTGTCGCGGGCGGCGTCACATGGTTAAAAGATGCCTAATTACATGCTTCCTTGCCAGTCAGGGAGCCTGGTACGATAGCTTATTGAATCTGATCGGAAACTCGTTTCATTCTTTTCCAGAGGACACAAATCCCAGATAAAATCATGAGGCAATCCCGCAAGACGATACAAGCCGATGTGAGAAGTGCTTGGTAATCTAGGCCTGAGTACGCAACGGACTTCAGAGGGTATCTCAGTGGAATCTGTTTGGGATCTTGACGATTTCCGTAAGATGAATTCGCTTGAGATGACACGCCACCAAGCCATACTGAAAGCAAGTTCCGTCCCCCGTTCACTATGTGTGAAGTAGAGGACATACGAAAACATATTCAACACTTCGCTGATACGTTCTCCCCAGCGACTTCTGCACTTGTTCCGATTTCAATGCAATCGGGCAGATAGTGTCCTGGTCACGATACACGCTCAGGTACATTCTTCTTCTATTCCGGGATTTCAGCCCATGAAAGTTTAATGGAACCTTTACCCGTCGTCTCGCACTATTCTTCAAGTATTCCACCACAGAATAAGCATGCTGTCGCGATCAACTCACCCGGACACACGTACGTCTCCTGATAACTACACCCAATCATTCCAGCGACGACTGAATACCGCCGAGAAGCAAAGAGACTTCAGGATGCAGCAACTTACAGATACAGAACACACAACACAGCTCTCTTCAAAGCTGCAGAAGGCTCGAAATCATCCGCATTTATATGGACGGCAGTGAGTTCCGAGCCTGCATATATCCCCGCATGTGATGTCCTCTATTTTCACGCAGAGCCTCGAAGTCAGTACTTCTGTGCACGAACTATTAATGATGTCAGATCGCAAACCTGGATCGGTTGTGTTTCGGTAACATCAGGTGAATGTTGAAAACGCATTGCTGCACTCTGAGGGACCTTCGAAAACCACGAGCTCACGGGATATTAGCTCTAGTACAAAGACAACCGCTCAGGCATGCGACCTCCCGTCTCTACACCACCGATAATACTCTTTAGCACGACAATGCTCTAATCAAGTAGATGGCTACTGCAATAGGCCAAGAAATCTACAGGCGAAGAAGGGACTCAAACCAGGTCTCAGCTCGACCAGAACACCGCCTTCGCTACATTCACACAGCTAGCGTAACGTATAATCCTGCCAGCGCCGATGCCTCGTCATCAACCGCCGCACGGAGGCAAGCAAGATAGATCTCACGATGAGATGACAGCTGTCCGAGCACGGGCTAGCCACGTCGGCAAGGAGCCCGCCGTCGCCGTCCGAGCGACGCCGATCTATCGACTCCCACGCGCGCTAGTAGAGATGAGACGGGAAGCAGCGTACGTCATGTCATTAATCCATTTTGGTTGCTACTACTGCCTGGCTCAGTAAACAACTTCAGGATCGAGGTATTTGTTGCTGTGTGACATCAACATGGGCCTGGGTGAATGAAACCAAACCGCCGCCTCTTCCTCCGGAGGAACTCTGCGAATACTTTCAGGTTTTGGAAGAAGGGGGGAAACTCTGGAGGGAGCGCTCTTTCCACTAGACTACAGCCCCTTATGCTTCGGTTGCTGTTCTCCAGCAGATTCAAAATGCCATGTGAAGACTTCCAAGAGTGTTGTCCAAAAGTCGGTCAAAGTTTGGAGCAAGCCTGGAAGCGATTCAGCTTTCTCGAAATCCATAACCAGGTATCACTGACTGTCATGAATCCTGGCGCCTCTACGGCAAACGGACCGAGCCAGTCTTAGTCCAGAACCCAACTTGAGTTCATGTATCAATGTTGATGTAGGCGTCTAATAGGCCGCACGGTATCGCGGAGTCCGGTCAACTCTTCAAGCTCCTCGCGACTGGACCGAGAAGCTGGACCAAACTCCTGTGCAGCTCCTACAACCCCATGACGAGGCGCGGCCGACTTTTGCAGAGATTATGGAGGATGTCAACCGTATGCGGTCGCAAGGAGGTCCCCCCCGACAACCCAGGAGTAACAACACACCGAGGCATCAGGCCGTTGGAAGTACCAGACATTGGCGACGAATCTTTCCTCCGAGCCGAACTGGAGAGGGAGTGGTCAACAAGTGACGCGACAGAGATGCGGCTGGTGTTGTGCCGTGTCACTTGTTCCATGGTACACATATGATGACCTGCGGTCCTGAAAACATGGCGTATGCAGGATCCTTCCGCGTCGACCAAACATCTTCCCCCTCGCTACCCAACTTGAGGTCCAGCGGCAAAAGCCTACGGCTTTTAATATAGCGGGCTGTCGACGCCCTCCCATCAGGGGCACTGACCGTGAGCCGGTAGGCAGAGAAGGATGCCAAGCATGATGCTTTGCATAGACAGCGCAACCGAGATCAAACGACGACCAACGAAGTCGAATTCGCAATGATCCGGATCCGGATCCGGATCACTTAGATGCCGTTGTGTTTTAGCGTCATCATTGTTAAAGGAGGATGGGAGAGGAGGAGGCAAAATATTGAGAAGTCTCCGCGTGGTACCTGCTTTTGATGTCCCGGAGACGAAGTTATGGGGGCTGAAAAAGATGGTGCAGGGACATTTGGGATATGTTTGAGCCCGACCCAAGGATTGGTTCTCGCGTAGCGGCGGCTCGCCAGCGGTATTGCGACGTCCCGTCGAGCAAGGTACCCGGCCGTCCGTCCGGAGAATTTGAGCCGGCCTGGTCGGATCTAAACCATCTCATTGGGAACCGCATATTTGACGAGCACACATTTCCCTCGAACCAACCTCGATCGTAATCTGGGACGCGTCGGTCCTACCCCAGACTTGCAGTGTCGCCACGTTCGTCCACGGTCCAGAGAGGAAATCAGCTCGTTGTCGAGGAGCACCTATCCGCGAGCTCAATCAACTCCGGCGCAACCACTTCACATTGTCGAAATGAGTTGAGCCTCGAAGTAAACAAGCATCTTCCGAGGGGGAGGCCGAATGTCATCCCCACAATAGCGAGCCGAAGCAGGGATGCCATGCGCCATCCAGTGGCTCGTCGAACGGTTCCGCGCGGAGTGGACGATACTGGTGCAATCTGCTGATCCTCCATGAAGATCCGTCTGTCTGTCGCCAGCCGAACTGCACGCCACTGGGCTCTTCTGCGCAGGTTTGCTGCAGTTGTCTGCCCCGTATCATTAGGGGTTGTCGGCAGTTGTCGATCCACTGCTTGAAGAGAGGCGTAGCGGATTCGGGAAGTGGACTTCGCAGCGGCACCGGAAGTGTCTTAGAATGCGGCAACCATTTCACGGGAATGAATCGGGATAATAGCGATGAAGGGAATGAGCCGACTGGAAGTGTCCCGGTAAGCTGCGGTTGAGATGAGACATTTCTGTTGTCTTGACGCCTGCGATTGTGACAAGACCGTGCTACAGAACAAATACCATGTTCTCGTTCGCGTTCCGGTCGTAGTGATCGTAGAGATACGCAGTGAGATCGCAAGATGGATCAAGTTTAGATATTGGCGAATCACCGCGACTCGAAAACCCTTTTTGCGCCTTTTCATAACTTCAAAACACTTCAGGGCGGCTTAGCAATAGGCCCGAAGCTCTCGTGCAGAACGCAACGTGCTGTGGCCCGGAAGCTGGTGGTCTTGTGCAACAGTCGCCAACAAAACCTCGCGCGTACTCGTATCCCCAAAGTGGTGTACGGAAGGCTGCTGACAGGATGCTGATCCTCAGCCTCTTCACGCGGTGTCTTGTCTCTGGCCGTTAGTGATGCCCAAACTGCAGCACATGTTCCGAAAGTAGACCGTATCCGGGCTCGACAGATTGTGATAACAACGGGCTTCATCTGCGTTGGGGGCACATGTCTTGGCTAGCCAGCTCGTGGCGTCGTCTCCGAAGAAGCCGCCCGTGTTTGAACCTTTGGAAGCTTCCACACAGCTGATATCGACCAGGATCCGTGATTGTGGCGCGGCAGACCGCCCTAAAAGGATACGTACATCGGCCGCGGTAACATTTGTTTCGTCATCCATCAGCAATTCCCTGGTCGATTTTTTAATAGAGACGAACCAGGGGGCCGCCCTCACGAAAAACGAGTTCGCGCCCCATCATTTGCGGGCTTCTTGCGGGAAAAGTGGAATAAGGGAGATTTATGTGTCTTGCTGTGCATAACACGAATAACAGTACACTTCTTGTCGACTATCAAGCTGTCAGTACCCGGAGCTGAGGGGATGGCTGCATCCATTGCGCGTGAAGGATTCCAAGGGAAGCTAAAAAGAAAGTATGTAGTGTGCACATTGGGAAAAGTTCAACTGACTTTGTGTGGCAGGTTAGCAGGATTAGCTAGCTAACACCAGCGAGGGTTTGAGCCCCTGGGCCCAAATCTGCCCATCGCGGTGCTCCTCTGACCCGGTGGCTCGAGTCAAGAAGGAGAGGTAACAGTAGTATAGACGATGATTTGATCGATGCCAGTATGACGCTTCTCTGATGACAAGACCAGTCCGGACAGCTGGATGATTGCTGCTAAGTCCGCTAGGCTTGCTAGGTACCAGCGGATGGCAGCCCAGGGGCAACCCAGGGGCGATATCAAGCTGTGTCTAACTTTGGTGCTAAGACCATTGGTGTGCAGGGATTAGCGGCATGCCTTTTCAAGCACCACACCACAACTTGGCATCTTGGATGGTCTTTTGCTAATTTCCCTTCCAAGGTCGAGCTGCAGCAGCACATGGGCAAGAAACAACCGAAATCCTGATGTTTCTGCATTGGGTCATCGTTGCCTGCATATGAGCCTCTTATCCGGAGACAGTTCGCTGAGAAAGCCGCTTGGACTGTTCGTATGTCGTTTATTGATGACCTTGAAAAGAGACCACAGTCGGCGGAGGGGGAGCTTGGTGACATTTGATTTGCAATCCCGCGGACGCTTGCCAGGCACGCCGAACATCAGGGGCCAAGGTGACAAATGGGGCCGCCCAATTGACCTTTAGCCGGGGTCTGGTTCGCCTTTTTTTCCTCAGACCTTACTCTCACTGTTCGCTGAGAGCGGTTGGATGCCGTGCTCCTAGGCGCGTCCGCCAA